GTTTCCAGAAAAAGGTGAAAACCTACAATTTTCAGAAGACTTTTACAGGCGAAGATTGCCAAATGGGGAAATATATGATAGATGTTATAAAACAGTAAATTACATAATACTTGGCAGAGTAATAGCATGATTGGGAAATTACAATATGTATACAGTATTACAGTATGTATGTATGTAACCATAAAATAATAATAAATTTTAACCTTTTATTTGACACACACACACACACACATGTATGTATATATATATATATATATATATATATATATATATATATATATATATATATATATATATATATATATATATATATATATATATATATATATATATATATATCATGTATTTAAGGATTTAAATAAACTGCAGGAGTGATCTGAAAATGGCAAATGATAATCAACACCAGCAAGTGCAGCGTACTTAATATTGGAAGAACAAATACTGTCAATGTATACGGCCTTAACAACAGCAACCTAGAGAAGTCGACTTGTGAAAGAGAATTAGGGGTACTTGTAAGCCCGGACCTACAGCCTAGAAAACAGTGCGGTAATGTTCGAAATAAGGCAAACAAAGTAGTAGGTTTTATATCTAGAAGTGTAAGTAATAAGAGTGCAGAGGTCATATTGCAACTATATCTTGCGCTAGTCGGGCCGTACCTCGATTGTGTTGTTCAGTTCTGGTGCCCTTATTATCGAATGGATATCAATTCACTGGAGTCGGTGCTGCGAAGAATGACGAAAATTATTCCGGGACTTAGAAACCTTCCATATCAGGATAGATTAAAGAAACTAAACTTGCATTCCCTAGAAAGACGAAGAGTGCGGGGAGATATGATACAAGTATTTAAGTGGGTGAAAGGAATCAATAAAGGAGATATAGATAAAGTTCTTATAATATCCGAGCAGGATAGGACTCGTAGCAACGGATTTAAGTTGGATAAGTTTAGGTTTAGGAGGGAGATAGGAAGGAACTGGTTCACAAATAGGGTGGTGGACGAGTGGAACAAGCTTAGCAACTTGGTAGTAAGTGCTGGAATGATGGAAAATTTTAAAAGGAGGCTGGATAGATTCATGGATGATAGAGAGTGGTAGTAACTCTCGACAGGCGCTGCCATGCACAGGCCAACCGGCCTATTGCAGACTCCTTATTTTCTTATGTTCTTATGTCTCAACATTAGCTGTCATTCATACTTTAACTGAGGGTCACATTAGTAAACAAGTACAAACGTGTAGCGACGTGTCGGGTTTTACAGTAACACTGACATTCCCAATTTATGGAGTGACCGCTGTAAAAAATTAAATATCGTTGGCTTTATTGTAAGAGAGCCAGATCTATCTAACCAAGAACAACAGGATACTGAATGGTGTGCTAAGGTGAGGTCTACTAGCACTGGGGTCTACACAGGTGGTGGGTCCCTACTCCAACAGGATGTGAGGATGGGAAGGACCCTTAATAACAGCCGGGGGGAAGGAAGACTGTCATCCTACACAACAATACGAGGTGAAGTAGGGAGGGCTTTTACAACAACAGGGGATGTAGGGAACAGAACCACAGGGGTGAGAGGGTCAGTGTGGCTGGGAACAGGTCGCTCCCTGGCCCGACAGCTCACTTTTACTCTTGCTACTTGTGCTATCTGGCACATTTTTTGGTAGTGTCTTGTTTTCAGTCTGGTCAGAGAAAGTAGCTTCTGTTTAAAGACACGCACAATGTGGTACAATTAAACCGCCTGTAAAACATGATTAGTCCACCAATCCTCTGTACTAAATGAATCAAGGTAAATATTCTCCAAACTGGATATATCCAATATATCTAACTCACTTAAACAGGCCGACCAATGGCAAAAAGGATAAAATAAAATACGTCATAGGTAGTAGACAGCTACCAAAAGGGAGGTACTACCGCCTGGGAAGATATTGGAAGCATAATGTGTCTAATGGTAGACCCTGCTGCCATATGGCATCACGAAAATTGTGACCAAGTCCCAGGTTGCTAATCTGACTTTCTGCCTCATTTACACACAATTGCAGGGTCTCAACACAACATACATATATTGTTTCTCATTCTTGATCTTTTTTAATTTTTGTATTTCTTTATGGTTCTTTATTATTATTATTATTATTATTATTATTATTATTATTATTATTATTATTATTATTATTATTATTATTATTATTATTATTATTATTATTATTATTATTATTATTATTATTACATTTTCGCTCCCCATGCCCCGATGTGGGTCAGTGACCTGTGCCCGGGTGGGCTAATCCCCATAAAAAAAAAGTTACGGTTGCGACTTCGAAGTCACGAGCCTGGCTTCGGATTTTCTTTACACAACACCCTGACCGTACTGTGACGTCACAGCTGAGCTGATTCCTGATTTTTCTGTTCACACAATGACCTCACTTGCTAGGAAAGCCCAGGTGCGTGTTACAAACGTCACAACTGATCTCTCCCAGTCCTAGTGGTTTATTCTCTCGTACCAGCACCTCCTCACCCCCTGGTGCTACCGACAGTACTTTGAAAATCCTAAGATGATTCGTTACAATGCTTTTCTTGGATTTGTGAGTATATTTTTGTTATGATTGATACTGAATAAAATAAACAAACCTAATCAAATAAATTTTATAGATAAATTGTTACTATAAGCAAAATTTTCAGTCTACTGTACAGGGAGTCAAGCTTAAAATAGTCAGTTTAACTTACATTTAGCCTTGCTCATTGCCGTAGATTTGTTGTGATTGATGTGTTATAGAAATAAGCCTCTGAAGAAAAAAATTATGTGTTGGACTAGTGTAATTGCTAACCTTGTTACGCGCTTAAAGATCTTCATTGTTGAAGAGCAGTAATAGCCTATAACAACAACTTTAACAAAATAATGTACATCTTTTATATTGATTAGAAAGGATAATGCTTTTTGCAGGACTGACTTACTGGGACTGCCTTATTACGTATGACCTGGAAGGTTGACCCAGGAGGCCATGACGTTAACATTAGTACTATTGTCAACCCCTTTGACCGGAAGTTGTCACAGCTCAGATTTGGAGATTTATAATGACCCAGATAAGAGTGTTGACCCCGACCTAACTGTCAGGTCTCAGTCAGGGGATTGATTGGGTGATTTGTGGAACTTAGCCTCAAAGCCAAGCACTGGAGCCAATGAGCCATTCAGCTCTATTCTCAGTCAGGGGAGGGGATATCGAGCCTGGCAAAACTTTGTCAGTCTCTTTATGGTAACGTGCATTCATACACACTACTGATATTCGGAGAATGCAGTGTATTAAGTGTACGTACCTAAGCTATTTGAAGCGTAGCTTTACGCTTCAAACATAATTAACCCTAAAGCAATATAAAAAAATCAACATATAGTCACAATTACCAGCCTCAGTGATATTCAAATCTAAGTCAACAGTAATGATTCGAAAAAGCGACCAAGAAAACTACTAAAAAAAATTGGGTTTTCTTATGTATTTTGTAGTTTCAAGAGAATCTGACCCCCATAGCCGTCGCAAATGAACCGTTATAGATATTTGGATAATTATTGGAGACACCCGTCGCCGAATCATGGAAAATAAATTTAAAAACGCCGCAATTTCACTATTTTGCAGTGGACACTCGTGGTTTTCGCAAGTGTTAAAATGGGGTTATTTCTAAGTTAACCCTAATCTAACCCTAGTCGTTAAGAAACACAAGCGGCCGAAGCGTTGTTTACAGACGACACCAACCTACCTAACCTTATCTAGTACCCGGGAGGCAGCATATTAAGCAAAAAGAACTTACTTGGATATGGCATAATTTAATTTTTTTATAAACATGAGAGTACGCTCAGACAGAGCAACTCGGTTGTTGCACCCAAAAAAGACAACATTGAGCGTGGATCGGGCCGCCATACAATTTCACCGACAAATTAATACGAACGGTCCCAGCTTCGATCCCCGGACAGGGTGAAACTATGGGCAATTTTTTTGTTTTTTTTTAAGCCATTTGCCTGTCTACCCAGCAGTAATTGAGAACCTGGATATAAATCGATTTGCTGAGCGTGTTCCGGGGTAGTGGCTGGCGAGTTATCCGGTCAATTCAATTTCAATTGTTTATTCCTTGATAGAGGAAGTGGGATCCTAGTGCTGTCACTAGGTACCCCTGTACAATGACACCAGAAGCATCTGGCAAGTGTGACAAGTATATACAGTATAAATATTATAAAGGGACTTACTAAAGCCTAAGGAAGGAAGGATATTCCTTTAACACATAATCAATGTTATTTACATAATATCTGGCCAGTATGGGGAGGATCATCGTGTCTCCGTCAGGGGATCGTGGACAGAGTTGTCAACTTAGCGACTTTGTAGCTAGATCTAGAGCTTTTTGTTTTTTTCTAGAGACATTTTAGAGCGATTTGCGACTTGTCGCAAATCTAGAGATATCCACAGAAATCTAGCGACTTTCTGGATACTTTTGGACTGTCCATGAAAACTCAGTTTTCCTAATTTCGAGCCATAATATAGAGCAACGGGGTTACAGGGACAATAAATAATAAGAAAAGTTTAATACATTTGAACGGGTCGTGGTACAGAAGGAGGGACACGTCTATTTCCTGATCACTTGATGTCAGCCCGTCCATGCATCTAACACCCTAAAATTGTGGTCAGAAGTAGCAAATTACAGAGATGCGACAGGTGAAAACCCTTACCATGATCTGGCTGAAATTGCACTCGCTGCCTTATCTCTTCCGCATTCAAACGCAGATGTAGAGCGCACATTTAGTAATATGAACTTTGTGAAATCAAAATTGTGCAACAAAATGAAACTATCGACATTAAAGGCAATTCTTACAATAAAGTATGGGTTAAAAAGACAGAACACCTGTTGTGCAAGTTATGAACTTCCTAGTGATATTTTAAGAAAGATAGGGACTGTGGAGGCATACAGTTACAAGAGAACCTGAACCAAGCACTTCACATGCTTCCAGCTCTACAGTTGTTCACACTGCCGACGACTACGAAGAGGACTGGGATGCAATTACTATTGAATAATAGGTAAGTGTGCACATTAAACTTTAAAAAAAATAATATTTTTATTTTTACATAATGCATTTTATTTATACTCCGTCCATTATAGTCGGCATTATGAAAATATTATTTGCATCAAATTACTGAAGGGGGGGAATAATAGCTAGCGACTTTCCATGGAAGATTTAGCGACATTTAGCTACTTTTAGGTACCAGCCTAGCGACATTTGAAAATCCGAGTTGGCAACCCTGGTCGTGGAGTGGTGGTCCAGCAGGCGTCATGGAAGCGTTGTGTGTGGGGACATCTAACTTAGGAGGTAGTGGATAAGGGTGCTGCTGTCGGGTCTTCTGCGTAATGCACAAGAGCGTTGCTCAGGGGATGCGGGGATACCAATCTCCCAAGCAAAGTCATACCCAATGATGATACGGTTATCCGGTTTCAAAAGGAGGCTAGATAGATTCATGGATGATAGAGAGTGGAAGTAACTCTCGACAGGAGCTGCCATGCACTGGCCAACCGGCCTATTGCAGACTCCTTATTTTCTTATGTTCTAACTATTACTTGACACTGGGTCATGCAACTCGTTAACTTAGGGTATGGTTGTTGTGTTGGCGACAGCTTATACACCTTAAACAAATTCACGCCTAGGTGGCCCTTGGGCCGGCCATCTTCGTTACGCGAAGGGCAACCATTATTAGTGCGAGCCTAGGGGCTTGATTATCTACCAAACGAAGCATTTACCCAAGAAATGAAAATCATATCCAAACTCAACGATGAAAATAAAATAAGAAAAGACCTATCAAAGCAAATTATGTGGCGATGGTATGTCTTTAACATTCACAGGAGTTTGAATCCCTCAATTACCAACAATATTAATTACACAAAGTGGTCAGGGTTTTGAAGTAGAGGGAAAGTGGGGGGTAAAAACACGCAAAAAAAAGACGAAACGAAACGTAATAAAACTTCCTAACCTGAAGAATTTGACCTCACCTAGCCAGGGGGGCTTTGCTCCCTTGGACCTCCAGTTGTGTAAAAAGAATACCTTAATTAACAGATGCTACAGAATAAAGTTGTGTTACTTGTAGGAGGAAATGGTGGAGTAGTCTTGTGATCGTTGTATTCGGTTTGGGACATGTACAGAGCGAAATATTTTAGGTAATGTTCCTTCTTATTGCTGGCACGAAGCACCAAATTCCTTATATCCTCCCACAATCATTCTATATTTTGCTTATAAATACCTGTAGCACTTCACAGAGGTTGGCAGAATACCATGAGCCTTAAAAATGTCAAAGGCAGCGTCTTCGTTTTCAAATACATGATGAATGATTTGCCAAGCTGAGAAAGAACACCTGTGCAGAGAAGCCATCTTGCGACAAGCCATTAGCCAACTAAAATTAAAAAACTAAGATGACAGAGACGTGACCGATCGCCCAAGCGGCTAACAAGCCGATCAGTGGCGAAGAGAATAAAAGTAAAAAGTGATACACAGGAGAATCACTTGGCATCGAGAGTAACGCTGATTGGCGGGACAGTCACTCGACACCGAGACTCACGTTGATTGGTTGAGCAGAAGTAAACAGTTTCCCGCCAAAATATACAGTAAGTTCCTGTGTGAAATCGGAAGTTCAAAATACTCGACAAATATAAATTTACGACGGAAACGTAATGGAATATTTGGTAATGTAAGAGAACACCGCTACCACCAGGAGTTGTTCGATTTTCTTATTTTTTTCTACAGTCGACATTTACTAGAACCTAATAGAACCAACCAAGGTCTATTGGCTGTCCTCAGGCTTTGGCACGAGAATAGTTTTTTGTGTGTTTTTGGTGTTTTAATCAAATCTGACCTCCATAATAATATTTTAATGTTTAACAGAAACTGCTACTTTGCACAAAAAGGAGGTCAGATTTGAGTAAAACACCAAAAACACACAGAAACCTATTCTCGTACCAAAGGAACCAACCTACAAGAAGGAGAAAGGCGGAGACAAGTGACTTATGTGAAGAATATAACCTCAGCGATACATAGCGGGAACCTGCGGACAACAAATGGGCGAATATTAACCCCAACCAATGATTCCTACCTAACCAACCAAAGAAACCTACCTAACCAACCAAAGAAACCTACCTAACCTTAACTAACTTCCTACTAGTCGGGAGTGACCCATCCCCCCCTCTATATTAAACAGAAAGTAATTATTTGGACATATGGTACTTATGAAAGCAACTTTGTTTTTTGTGTACGTGATAATGCGCTAGGACTAACTTGGTCTGTGTAAATTTGTAACTTGTAAGCAAACAAACGGAAGAGTATTTACGGCAAATAATTAATTTCTTCGAGTACAAAAAACGTAGACATTTTAGTGTCATATGATCAGTTTTTGCATATCAAAAACCTTATAATAATTAAAATAAAAAGTTGTCGCCTCTTTTAAAATACTTACTATAATAAGAACATGTGGAAAAACGAAATCGAACAACTTTGGTGGTAGCGATTTCCTCATAAACTGCCGAATCTTTTTTTTGCTATATTGTATCCCTATATGCTGTAAATACTCTATAAATAAGAAGTTCCGTGATCGACATTTTTCTAATGTTAACAAGTCATGCAACTCACCATACAACTGAGTAATCAGTAACGCAAAAACACTGGCCAGAGGGGCGACAGCCGTGTACTAACCTGTTGATCATTGATGCCACATGCAACTAAAGTGACAAGTGACAAAGTCCATTTAAAATAATAAAATTTTCAGGCTGATACATAATAGCAGGAGGGAATACCCGGTACTTTGAAAACTGAACCCATTATTAATAAGATGTGTTGCTGAGGCCCGAGTGTCACTTACTATATAGCTAGCAGCTGTAGCCTGTATGCCTCTGGTCCACATGTTGACGCCAACTTACTGGTCATAGGAAGAATAGAGCGAAACTCATGCATTTGAAAGTAAAAATGTTCGAAAGTGCCAAGCTGCCACAGAGGAAAGGAGCGAGGGAACGCCTTTCCACTAAACCACTGATCACTGCATCACACCCAAAAATACAAACTGCAAGCTCTGGTCCAATTAGAATCGGTCCGGAGGGTTACGTTTCTGATTGTTTTTCTTTTTTTTTCTATTAATGATTGGTATCTGGTTGAAACTTCAAAAAGGGCATTCTCTTTGTCTTTGAAACAATTCGGCAAAACAATTTACTTTTGACATATCAGTTGCAAATAATTGCGGTTTTGTCACGCATTCCTTGTAATTCAGGAGCTAAAAGCAAAAATTGCCGACTCGACACTAGACCTGTTTACCCAAATTTCATTCAGCATTTTCACCATTTATGAAATAATAATATTACGAAAGCACTGTATTTTATATGGTGTATCAGTTTTGGGCGCCATTTTGAATCAGAGTGTCTTCCGACGTAGGTACGTGAGGTGTGTTAGCGTTAACTGCAAAAAAACAAAAACGTAAGTTATATCGATACCATTTTTTTACTGTTATATCATGCTATCTAGCAGCCATTACGCCAATCAGTGATATTTTTGGTTTTATAGGTCATAACTAACTTCTTTGATAATATGGCCTGTAGTGAGCGGTCGTCTAACTACAGATGTGTCACGTATTAGAAACTTCTAGTCGACAGGAATTCTTAGTGAAATATGCAAGTAACAATCACTGTTCACTGGTAAGAGCATATAATGCGATTTCATTATTAACAGTAAGGCTGAATGGGTCACTTGAACGAGGGATAAATACAAACAATACAGATATGAGGCGAAGACGCAAGGTGTGGGTGCGCTTGAGTTCAGTATAGTTGAGAGACAAGATCCACACACAGGCTGGAGAATAAAGTGTGAGAAACTAAAGAAGGAATGAGTGAGTGATCCTGGTGTCTCGTGCAATAACTTGCATGGCGAAGGAGGGATGGATGGCACCGGGCTGGCGGAAGACTAGTGTGTGTGCTTATGTATGTATGTGTATATATATATATATATATATATATATATATGCAAGTAAATCACTGTAGGTGCGCGTGATCCAGGTATATGCTGATAACCACAAGGAAAAAGAAAACACGAAGTTCCCAAGCGCTTTCGTGTTATGTATTTCTCCTTATTCTGTACTCACCCCTGAAGAAGTGAATTACACGAAAGCGCTTGGGAACTTCATGTTTTCTTTTTCCTTGTGGTTATATATATATATATATATATATATATATATATATATATATATATATATATATATATATATATATATATATATCAGTTGACTGATATTGTTTCTACTTGCCCTACTAAAACTAATTATTATTGCACATATAACTACTGATGGTAGATATAATATAATTCATATACTGTAGTATCTAATAAACTCGTAAAACTGATTAAGATACCAATTTTGTAGCGAAACACCTGAATCAATTCATTTTCCATACACTCACATGTCATAGATCTTCAAATTGTGCACTAAACAATCGTGGCTGCAACGCACACGTTATATATAATCTTCTTTGAACACTACAGTATATGTAGCAAATATACATGCTTAAAAATTTTCTCTATAAATTACGCCAAAAGTAAAACAAGTTTGTAAACATCTCATGTAGCAATTACATTTATCCAGTCTAAAATAAAGTGATATGATTCAAAATTTCTTGAATTTACCTTGAAAAATATATACCTACTTTAAAGATTATTCATTATAATAAACTTCATTATTCCAGATCCGCCAGCAAAATGTGGGCCGAAGGTAAAATCATGGTTATGGACAATGGCTCGGGGTTAACCAAGGTTGGTTTTGCAGGGGAGGACGCCCCCCGATCCGTCTTTCCCTCCATTGTAGGCCGACCACGTTACCAAGTGAGTCATGTTAATGTTATCATTAGCTTTTATATATATATATATATATATATATATATATATATATATATATATATATATATATATATATATATATATAGGATCATATGAAGATCTTCCCCCCCAAAGTATCCAACTGAAGATCCTCCCCCCAGTCGCGCTCATATGAAGATCCACCCCCCCAAATAATTTAAATAAACAACACCTTTTTAAATAAAAAAATTATTCAGATTACTTTCTTGTTAAACTAAATATTGGTGTAGGTTAGGTTAGGTTAGGTTAGGTGGTAATAGTGAAAAAGGTTAGGTAAGGTCAGGTTTGGTCATTGGTCAGGTCAGATCCTCCCATCCAGGCTTGATCATATGAAGATCCTCCCCCCCAAGTAGGTTTGGGGGGGAGGATCTTCATATGATCCATATATATATATATATATATATATATATATATATATATATATATATATATATATATATATATATATATATATATATATATATATATATATATCTACACACACACACACTTACAACACGACAAGAATATATTCTCAAATCTTGACAAGTTAGATATTATAAAGTTAAGATTTTTTGTTACTATATAATGTAACCAGAAACTGTACCTTCCCCAGGCTATGATGTTGGGCATGGTTAAAGAAACATACGTAGGTGAAGAGGCCCAGAAAAAGCGAGGTATCCTGACCCTCAAATATCCCATCGAACATGGTGTTATCACCAACTGGGATGACATGGAGAAGATTTGGCATCACACCTTTTACAACGAGGTGCTTGTAGCTCCCGAGGAACACCCAGTTCTATTGACAGAGGCTCCCCTCAACCCTAAAGTCAACCGTGAGAAGATGACTCAGATCATGTTCGAAACTTTTAACACTCCCTCCATGTACATTTCAATCCAGGCTGTGCTTTCCCTGTACGCCACTGGTCGTACTACAGGTGTTGTCCTAGACTCTGGTGATGGTGTGACGCACTCTGTTCCCATCTATGAGGGATACTGCATTCCCCATGCATTACAACGTCTAAATGTGGCTGGCCGTGACCTGACAGAATATCTTATAAATATCATGACTGAGCGTGGCTATAACTTCACAACCACTGCTGAGCGAGAAATTGTTCGTGACATCAAAGAGAAACTCTGCTATGTCTGTCTCGATTTTGAAAAGGAGATGGCTGCCTCAAACAAGAGTACCATCTTCGAGAACCTTTACGAACTTCCTGACGGTCAGGTTATAAAAATTGGTAATGAAAGGTTCCGCTGCCCAGAGGCTCTCTTCCAGCCCTCCTTCCTTGGTTTAGAAAATGCCGGAATTCACAAATATGTTTACAACTGCATCATGAGGTCTGACGTAGATATCCGCAAGAACCTTTACGCCAATGTGGTTTTGTCTGGTGGTACCACCATGTACCCTGGTATTGTCGACAGGCTACTTAAGGAAATCACTTCCCTGGCACCATCCACCATGAAAGTCAAGATTACTGCACCCCGAGAGCGCAAGTACTCAGTATGGATCGGTGGTTCCATCCTGGGTTCCCTCGGCCCTTTCCAGCAGCTGTTGATCACAAAGGAAGAGTATAACGAATCAGGTCCATCCATTGTCCACAAGAAGTGCTTCTGATCATTATGTAATGTAGAACTGTCGCCATAAAACTAGAAGTTTAAATGTTTATTCGGAATATATTTGATGGTCATTAAAACAAGTTTCATTTAATTATTTTTTCTTTTCTTTTCAAAGGAAATTATTATATAATTGTAAAGGCAAAAACGTTTCCCTCTTGAAGATAAATAAGTACAGTACTGTACTGTACTTACAGCTATGTCAAGGGAGAGACAATGACAGATACTGATATATTATTTATGTTCTTAAAAATCATTCAAAAAATCCCCGTATCATATAATTAATGAAAACGTGAGTTAGAACCGATAGAAGGGTAATTTTAGTTTAAGGTTAGGACAAGCTTGACTTAATATGCTACAGTACTATATTATGATCCTCACGTTGTAATCTTGTCGTTAAATCATAAGGCCAAATGCATGTTTTGCTATCCCTTCTTTATTTTTTTTACTATAAGGAAAGTCATAATTAATTTTCCTCCAATTATTTTTCATGCCATTACTTGTACCGTATTGTAAAAATAACACGAGTATCCTTGGGAAAATAAATATTTATTGTACCGTAGTTGTTTAAATATATATATATATATATATATATATACAGGTATATATATATACACTGTGGTCCCTCGGTTAACGAACACAATTTGCTCCAGAAGGTCGTTCGTTAACCAAAAAAAATTTTAACCGAAACCATTGTTTCAATGGGATTTTGGGTAATTGGTTCCAGCTCACCAAAAATTACATACAAAGTAAAAAAAAAAAAAATGCAGTAAAGTACACTTACTTTGAGGTGTGTATGTAGAAGGCTCCTGGTTGATGATGATGATGATGATGGGAATTAGAAGTGGGGGTGGAGAAGGGAGAAGAGAAGGAAGTGGGGGTGGAAGAGAAATCACCCATGCTTGATGCCGTCATTTCACCCATAAAGTTTTTAAGTTCACTCGGTGCAATTCAAGATTATTTTCTTTAAATCAACACTGCACTGCACTATATATTGTCAATGTTAAATAAATTTCAGAAGGACCAATAATTGTACAGTACTGTAAAAATGTAAAAATACTCTGTGTTCAAGAGACCCACAAGCAAGATGTTTCCTCTACTGAACAGATACAAACTGAGGCCTTGGTGGGTAAGTGAAGTGGCTGATGGGCGCACCAAAAACTAGTTCCCTGTACTGCAATTATGTTAAATAAGTGTTAAAATGACTAAAAAAATTAATATAAAACTTGGAAAATTATTGAATAGTACAACCTTCTTGATATTTACTCCAATTTTAATGATCAGGATCATTATCACATGGGGTTCAATGGGATACATTCCCTGCCAGTCCGACACCGCCCATATTATCAAAAATAAAATTCCTACACTACTACTACACATTTAAACAACCCTCACCACATCATTAAGAACAAGCCTGGTCGTCATCACATGTCCCCTTCGAGGCTATGGGGACTCTTGATGGTGGAGTGGAGACCGTCACTCTGACTGGGGGTGTAGGCTTTGGCTTGGCGTTAAAGAAGGTGAAATTCTTGGGTGGAACTGGAGAGGTGTCAGATGAAGAAAACCCTGCATGGCTGGTAACCCCAAAAGTCAAGGGTTGTGACTGTGACTTGAGAAAGGAGGTGATTGTTTTCTGGCATGTCTCCTTCTCCAGGTTCAGCTCCCTGTTGCAAAGCATGGACCTTCTCCACAATTGCCCTCACAGAAGAACTCCTGTTGAAGTTGGAGGTCATTTTCAGCCAGCAGATACATGGTAGAACTCACGCATTCAATGGCAGTGCTCAACAGTGTCATGGGTGCAGGGTTTTTTTCCTCACCCATTGACTCCTCCACTGCTTGCCTCAGTGCCGAGTTCCTCAGAGTGGCTCTCCAAGACCTCTGCCACATTCCCCTTATTGGCCTCCTTGGAGATGCTAGCAATGTTGTGGTATACAGTTACAACATCGGTGAAGCTACCTAAGTTGTTTATGCACTCCTGTTACACTTTCCTCATCATGCCATTCCTGCAACTCTGTGTGACCTCCTTCCATGACTTCTTGATATTCTGTATAGCATGCTTGATGGTGTAGCTGTGCCAGAATTCTTTGATGGTTGGCTTTCCCTCTCCATCTGTCGCCTCAAACAGCTACGTCATCAACCACTTCAAGTAGTAGGATTTGAAGGTTGTGATGATGTCCTGATCCATTAACTAGATGAATGAGGTGGTGTTGGGGGGGCGGGAACAGCAGTGACGTCAGTCCACTCACCAATCAGAGGTGGGTGTGAAGGCGCATTGTCAAGGATAAGGGTAAACATGTTGGCGATGTTCTATTCGACAACATACTCCTTCAGGTGCTTGGAGAGGTAGCCAGTCACATACCTCTGGCACAACAAATTGTGACCTATGCCTTCTTGTTGGAATGCCAGATGAATAGGAGGTGCTCCTTAATAAACCCTTTAAGAGCTCAAGGGGTTTCCAAATGGTACACCAGCATCAGTCAACTTAAGGTCCCCCTCACCATTGTCTCCAAGCAGTATGTAAGGCAGTCCTTTGCAACCTTGTAGTCTGGCGCAGTCTTCTCCTCATTGGCCAGAAAAGTCCTTGAAGTCCCGTCTCATTGAAGTTTAGGACCTGCTCGATGTTGTATCCTCCTTTCACCATCTTAGCCTTCAGGAGTGTTGGGAAGGCATTGGCACTCACGACGTCAGCACTGGCTGCTTCACCAGTTAAACGAAGGTTGTGGAAATTGGCACGCTTCTTGAGACAGTTGAACCACCCAGGACTTGCCTTGAATGAGACCTCAGTACCACTGCTCTCACCGCTCTCTGTCTTTAGCGTTGTCTAGATGTTGCACGCCTTTGCCATAATGATAGCTGTGGAGAGAAGCAAGTGGCATCGAATCTGGTCCTGAATCCAGTCTTGGAGTAGCTTCTCCATCCTCTCCATGATAGGCTCACACTTCTTTTATGACCTAGAAATGGAGACTGGGCTCATGTTCTGTGCTGCATCCTTCACTTCTGGTGCCTTTTTAATGACGGTAGACACCATTGACTGAACCAGGCCAAGAGCGCAGGCAATATACTGTAGTACGTTCCTTCACCTCTCTCATGCTGTTTCATAATGTCAAGCTTCACCTCCAGAGAGTGTTTTCCTGGGTGCTTTGGCCTTCCCAGATGCAAGCAGGATCTTCAGCAATGCGCTTGCTAAACATTTTCAAAATTACACTGCTCACTTCTCAGCCACAAAAACAAAGCAAAAGTACTTCAGTCACAAAAACAGAGTGAAAGCATTTCAGTCACATGAACAGAGCCAAAACACTTCTTACAAAAAGTGAGTACAATTTGATCGTTAGTGATCTCTTGTAACTGTAAGGAGAAAAAAGAAACCAATGATAAAGCAAAAACAATGATAGTGGCAGACACTACTCACATGATGTTCACAATAACAAGGGCAAAGCACTTGACAGTCATAAAAGTAGCGTAAATTACTTCAGTCACCAAAATAGAGTATAATGTCAGCATTAATGATATCTTCTCAATGTAAGGTAAAAAAAAAAAATAATATTTTAAGTAGCAACACTGATACTAACCAATAATTGTAGAGCTACAAGATCAAAGACAGATATGATAACCATGGAACGATGCACTAGACCAGTACACCTAAATATACCCCACCTGGGTATATTTGGGAAAAGAAAAGAAAAAAGAAGCAATTCTAGTCTTACAAACTGGCCATGCATGATATAAACAGGAAATAAATACATGTCCTTACTACAGGTTGGCAACACAGGGGTTACGAAGAGAAAGAGAATGCTCATGAAATGGCGTGTGTGTGTGTATGTGACAGAGTAGTACTTTTGTAACAGGTAAACACTAATTTATAGGCAGTATGAGGTACAGGACACTTGTTTTACTATGTTACTACTATTTACACAATTCAAAATCATTACTGTACTGTATTACTAGTCCAGTAATTGATCACGATACTAAATTTGTGTTTGAGGGTTGGTGGGTAGAAACACATGGTGGAGTAAGTCGACTCCAAGAGTGTGATTCCTACATCACAAAAGCTGAGAAGAGACTGGGAGGCTTTTATGTGTGTGTGTGTGAAAGATAAATACCGACTTGGCAATATAATCTGGCCAGGCCCATCCTTTTAATTCAAATAAGTCCGTGAAAGATCAAAAGACCTTTGATGTCGTGACCCTAAGCTTAAGGGTAAAGGATAAAAAGAAATCCACTACCAGTACTGTACTGTATTTATAGACTTTATCGTTTTATATACAAATAAAAAAAATTTTTATGATGAAATAAAAACAGATTCTACTGATGAAGAGGTGTAAATAATAAAATAATTGATGTCAAAACTAGGCTGCTGATAACTCTTGTTGTGGTGGCAGACTCTCTACAGTGGGGATGACTGGAATACGCCCAGAGTTCTGTAAAATACAAAGAGCAGTGTTATCTTTTTCTATCTACATAGAGTGACTAAGGTAAGAGAGGATATCCTGAGGTGCTACAAGGATATGTATTAAAAGAAGAAAATAAGAGAGATCAACAAACAATAGATGTTTTTTCCACGAGGAAAAACATCAAAAACAGAAGGATCAGCAGACCAATTAAAAGGAAGCTCAACAACCAGCCAACCACTGCCTCTGGTGGCTGGCTGCCTCAGTCTGCCTCTGGTGGTTGGCTGCCTCAGTCTGTCTCTGGTGGTTGGCTGGCTGCCTCAATCTGCCTCTGATGGTTGACTGGCTGCTTCAGTCTCATCAAGAATCATAGGAAAGTCTACTTCTGTGTAGAGAACATACAAGTAAGAGCAAGGTCTATCAGAGTAGATTCGGTTCTGCTTGCTTCATACATCTGGCAGCTGCTTGCACTTCTTTGTTACTCAGAGCATGCACACTCATGTATGAAGCATGTGTCTTTGTGTTTACTGCACAAGTAAAGCTCGATTTGATGGGGTAACATTCCTGAAAACCCCACTGCAAATTGAAATATCGTAAATTGAGTTCATTATAACATGGGATTCAATAGGATACGTAAACAACCAGTCCAACACACAAACATATATCACCAAAAAAATATTCCCACACTAATAAAATAAATATAAAACAATTAAACATCACTGATCACATCAAGCCTGGCTGTTTCACAATGTCAAGCCTTCAGCAACAGCTAGCTAGACATTTTCAAAGTTGCACTGCTCACTTCAGTCACAAAACAGATTGAAACACTTCACAAACACAGTAAATGAGAAAAATAAATAAAAACAACAAAAACAAATACAATACTGCATTACTATTAAGCAATCATTTCAGGGGACACAAGACAGAGAACAGCTGAGAGATCCCCCACGCCTCTCCTCCTCCCCTCTGAGGGCTAATTCAAGTGCATGAATGAAATGTGTATTCCCTTTATGTTTTTGATCTTACAATAATTATTTTTTATTTAATTTTACACGTTCTCTATGAACAATTGTGTGAGCATGTAACAGTATAAAAAAAAATAATGTACAGTACGCCCGAATAATTCACGGATTTTTATTTCGCAGTCCTCTATTATTCGCGGATGACACCCTGGATGTACCCAAGAATGTCTGTGGGTAGTTTTAAAGTTGCCGGCATTTTCACCGCCGGGACAGGGAGCCATTCATTCTATAGGCAGTAATTTCCTTTACCTGTATTTTATGTAAGTGTGTGCGTGTGTGTGTGTGTGTGTAGATACACACACACAAAACACATACAGTACAAATATATAATACAGGCATCCCCCGCGTTACGGAATTTCGCTCTTACGGAATTTGTAAATTATGACCAATAATTTCGCGTTATGGTGCGTAAATCCGCCCTTACGGAAACTGGGGTAAATTTCAACAAACACAAGGCCTCACACATGCCATTCAGACTGACAGACTTGACAAGTTTTACCAACTATAAAGACAGTTAAAGCTTTAAACATCACTCACAATGGATCTTGAATATTCCAACTGTAATCAGACATACCTACCTGGTAAGTTGCCTCAACAATTGCAGCCCCAGTTGCAATATCAAATTCTGTGTCACTACTAAGAAATAACAGTCTCTGGTGCACTCTATGATTAAGAGAAAATGGATGACTCAGGAGTCCTGAAGTGAGAGAAAACGGACTCCTGTGACGGGGCACTCAAATAAACATACACATAGCTGTATAATGCAATATTAACCCCTAAATTGGTGTTTTAAAAAGGTATATCATAAATTATTTAATGTACAGAGTACTGTATTGTATGTGTTTATAAATGTTTATTTTCATTAATAAAAGTGCTTGAATTACTTTTTGGGGGCCGAAAAAATTCCTTAGGAACGCATCTCCAGTTTTATAATGGAAGTCAATGGGAAAATAGGTTTCGCGTTTCGGAATTTCGCGATACGGTAAATTTTCCGGGAACGGAACCCTTCCGTAACGCGGGTGATGCCTATAATGGGAAAATCCTCTCGCAAATAATCAAAAACAAATGTAGTACTGTATTCAAAATGTTGAGTCTACCCTCGGTCTACTCCATGCTTTGTTATTAATAAAGAACGGGGTAGACTTGAGGGTAGACTCAACATTTTTAATGCGAACTCCCATGGATGTAAGAAATGTTTATTTTATGGTATTTTTTTGACCTAATGATAATCATCTTTTATTTTTTCTGCACATTCTGTATGAATGATTATGTGTGCATGTGACAGAGTATAAAAAATAAATAAATAATGTATATTTAGCTCAAATTATGTGATGAAAAATAACCATAACATAGTTCACAGCTGGCACAAAGAAAAGTTGATTCCCTTTATGTTTCTGACCTTATGATAATTATTTTTTAATATTATTTTTTAGTATACTGTATGAACGATTGTATGTGCATGTATAAGAGTAATAAAAAAAGAAGAAATTACATATACTGTAGTTGTATCTACCTGAAATTATGTGTTGAACAATAACTTCACTCACAGCTCAGCCTCACCTGCTCTGAGTGCTGCTGGGTAGCAAGTTGAAGACTGCTACACAATTACATACCATCTCCATAGATGTTATTCCTCGTTAAGGATATTATTTATCACATCCCTTATTTAGCGATCATTTCACATTCAATCAGAGTACCATCCTCATATCTGAGGGTTGGCGACAACAGTCCTCCACTCTAAATGTTCTCAGGTTGTATTTACCAATCCTCCACGGTTTTGTATCTCTCGGGGATCCACTTTTTAATTTAATTCATCCATCCCAGTCTCTGCCTTCCTTTGGCCCTCCTACCCTCAACTTCGCCCATTAATATTTCTGGGATTTTCATGAACGCATCCCAATTGTTAAACAGTATTCCGCGCATCATAGAGTTTGGCCGGATGATGGGCATCTTCCACGTGAATATTTTTTATAGTAAATTGGGAAGTGGTCTTAAAACTCACCATTGTTAAAGCGAAATATCATAAATAGACAGCTCGTATATGGAGATTTTACCTGTATTTCTCCCATTTTTTTCAAATTTATTTGGTTCTATTAGAGTTAGACTAATTTATTTTCAATTTCTATTTATACTAGTAAGTACAGAACTGTACAGTACTTTAACGAACATCTTTAATAGCACTGAGAAATTTAGTAAATTCAAAACAAAATACAGTACTGTATTGTACCTGTATATTACTGCATTAATCTAAATTTCATTCATGTTACAAGATAAGTACATACCTGTATAATACATTGAAAATAAATAAATTTACTTCAATTTGGTAGAATATATAATAAATGTTTTCATATTATGTGACATAAATTAGTTAGCAAGGTGGCTGCACACAGACCACAATAGATGTGGCTGCTACCCTGACCCCACAACCCTCATCCTCGTCCTCATCAATGTTTTACGGCCATTTTTATGCTTGCATGTATCAGCCAACCCTTAGGGTGTTAAATTAAGTTATGATTATTGCAGGTCAATTGAAAGCCATACAGTACAGTCATCCCTTGGTTATAGCGCACTTGGTTATCGCAATTTTCGTTATCACGCCTCCATCCAAATCTGCACATCTGCTGTTATAGCGCATATTTCAGGCAGAGAATTTAGTTATCACGCAGTTGCCTCCAGGTGTATTGTTACCCCCTTGCTTCACCTACATCTATTGAGGATAAAATCTTTCACCTACAAATTGACAATAACACATTTGCTGAAAGAAAATAGATGGAGGTAACAAAACTTGAAAGCGGTTGTAGAGACACAAGCGCTCACACATGCCACTCATACTGACAGACTTGACACTCACTTACTTGACAAGTTTTACCAACCATAAAGACAGTTGAAACTTTCAACATCACTCACAATGGATCTTGAATGTTCCAACTGTAATCAGACATATCTAAATTGCCTCAACAATTGCAACCCTAAGTTGCAATTTCAAATTCTGTGTCATTACTAAAGAATAACGAAGTCTCGGGTGCACTCTAAGATTGAGAGAAAACGGAGGACTCAGGTGTCCTGAAGCGATGAGAAAACAGACTCTTCAGACGGGGGACTCAAATAAAGAAAGCATAGCTACATGTTTTGTGGACTATTGAGCGAACACTTTTCATCAATTTGTAATAAACCTAGCCATGCCTACCGTATGTGTGTTTCTGATACTTCCCATAACATTATCTATATCTTTAGTGGGTCTAAATGGTTGTAAAATGGGAAAATTGGGGTTGGATCTTGGGTGCCTGGAACCAATTAGAATAAATCCCATAGGTTCTGTACTTTCGTTATCGCGTTTTTCGTTATCACGCACTCGGTGCGGTCCCAATTAGGCGTGATAACTGTACCGTATTGCATTTAATTTAATGGGAGAAAATAAGCAAATTGGTTTAAAAAGCCAAGAAGGAAGAAGACCTAGACAATGTTGATGATAACAAATTGATATTTGAGGAACATACAAAGTGAAGTAAACAAGAGGAACCACTTGATAGACGTGATCCAGCAAGCATTCCCATGAATACTGTACAGTTCTTCCCTGACTTACGACCTACTCGACTTACGACCACCCGCACTTACGACCTGCCTCAGTCATACCAAAATTTTGTCAAATGACGTATTTTCGAGTCCCAACGTTAGTACACAGACAAAATTTTCGTTTGTAATTCACTTTAAAATGGCTGGCAAGCTTAAAAGTGAGAGTTTTGTGGTGCTGAGAAGAAAAAGAGACACCCATTTTAGATTTTCTATGTATTATTTAAGCATTTTCGACTTACAACCATTTCGACTTATGACCTGGATTTGGGTCCCTAACCCCTTCGTAAGTCGGGGAGGAGCTGTACTTGAAACTAGATAGTGTAATTGATAAAATGGTGTACAAAGTACAGGAAATATAAATTATAGATATTAAAAAACAATGGTAGGCAAGGGATTACCTTGTACTGTACAATACATGAAAATTTATTACTCTTGAAAACAGTAATGAATCACAGCCATATAAGAAAAATAAATTTATTCTCTTTACACTGTACTGCAGAGTATGAATGTTTTGTCATGCACCAAAATTTGCTCAATGAATGGATGCATAAATACGACTAACATAATTAGTTTACTCACCAGTCTCTGTGCTCTCTTCTCCAACAGCCCATATGAGAAGTGGTTCAGCTGAAATGTAAATAATCACAGGTACTTAAATCCCTTCATATCGTCTAATACTGTATTGTACTTATATTTGTGAAATTTAAAAGCATACAAGTCGATACACATAAGGACATTCCTAAACAAGAATAACGTAACACCTTGCCAAATCCCTTTAACTCTATTCACTTATACCCTTACACCTCATCTGCACTTTCCACAACAGGACTCTTTTACTGCCCAAACCTCTTCAAATCTTCCTAAAACTATTTTCATATTACTACAATATTTCAGTCTTCAGTTTGTCAACTTTTAAAACAATATGTTCTCACCTCTTTGAATCTTTCACCTTGAACCTTTCATTTACCCTTTGCTTCTGCCAAATAATGAGCAATCTCCCTCTTCTTACATGTCACCTGTCTATCAACACAGTTTAAAAACCCTTCATCCGCTCCAATGTTACAAATATATATGTAGACTTATATCTTTAACACTTACCATAAATCCTCTAGGGAGGGCTACTCCCTGAACACGAAACAGCTGCCCATCATTGGTCTCTATGGGATGTACAGATGCCACTGAAACTTTGCCAAGATGACTTGTATTGCTAATCATTGGCCCACAACTTATTTCCACAAAAGTCCCCATTCTGTATACCACCACAGTATTACCTGAAAGAGAAAGTGATTAGAAGATATTCCATTCATTTAACCTAACTATCTATTTTGTCATTAGAGGCAATTTGTAAAATATGGACTAAAAACAGCTTCAGTACTGTACAAGCAGCAGTCCTCACTTAATGTCTCCCTGATTAGTCATTTTATTTTTGTGTTATCTACCAAAAATATGATGCAATCTGCAATGAGAATAGTGAGACTGATGTGTAATGTGACAATGAAAGATAAGGAATCCTACTCAGAGTTAAGAGGGCAGCTCGGTAGTGAAAAAATTGGCAACTTTTGTGTAAAGGTAAGCTGAGATAAATTGGGCATGTGAAGAGAATGGAGACCAACTGGGTCCAGAGAGGTAAGAGTTTGAATGTCATGGAGAACACTGTAGAACTAGGGGTAGGCCAAGAAAGACACAAGAACAGGTTGTGAGAAATAACCTCAGAGTGACTGCAAGAGAAAGTGCAACATAGGGAGTTACCATCATATAATCACAGCAAACACATACAAGTGTGGAAATTGGCCACAAAATAAAATAAGACCACCAAGTTCCTAATCTTAATGTACCTTTATGTTTGAGTCACCCAAACTTAATATGCCATCAAAGGGCACTAATTTTAATATGCCATTAAGTTTAGAGCCCATTAAAACTAAACCTATTAGCACATTGAGATTACAGCTAATCGTCATTTTCCACTAAACTGAATTACAGAAACATTCATATTAGTCTCTTTTTTTCCCATTTAAATTGATTATTATTATAATAATTCCATATTCATTATTGGTGTGTAAATTAGGGATGCACTGGAACTTACTTCCTTAATTCCAACCAGAACATTAATTTGTATGAAGTTCTGGATCTGGCCAGAACTTCGGTAAAATAACAGGCCGGAACCGGAACTTTTCATAGTGGCACTGGTTACTGCTTCATAAATTAAAATAGAATTCTAATGGATAATACAGCTTAAAAAAAGTAATGAATGGTTAATGAATATTGATGTATAAGTAGCCAAAAATTTATTACTGTACAGTGGTCCCTCGGTTAACGAGCACAATTCGTTCCAGAAGGTCGTTCGTTAACCGAAACCATTGTTTCAATGGGATTTTGGGTAATTGGTTCCAGCTCACCAAAAATTACATACAAACTAAAAATAAATGCAGTAAAGTACACTTACTTTGAGGTGTGCATGTAGAAGGCTCCTGGTTGATGATGATGATGGGAATTAGAAGTGGGGGTGGAGGAGAAGGGAGAAGATAAGGCATTGGGGTAGAAGAGAAATCTCCCCATGCTTCAAGTCGCCATTTCACCCATAAAATTTTAGTTCACTTGGTGTAATTCAAGATTATTTTCTTCAAATCAACACTGCACTGCATTACATATTGTCAGTATGTAAAATAAACTTCAGAATGACCAAAAATTGTACTGTAAAAACGTAAAAATAGTTTATGTTCAAGAGAGTCTCAAGCAAGATGCTTCCTCCACTGAGCAGGGACACACACTGAAGCCATTTTGGGTGTGTCAAGTAGGTGTTTGGCACGCTAAAAACTAGTTCCCTGTACTTCAATTATGTTAAATAATAGTTAAAATGACTACAAATTTTAATATAAGACTTGGAAAAGTATTGAATAGTACAACCTTGATATTTACTCAAATGGTATCGAATTTAATCCCTAGAACCGATTACTGTATTGGCGGACTAATACTACAGCTGGTGAGCAGCCGAAAGCAGGCGAAAACATGTTGGGAAAAATTCGTAAGGAATTCGTTAACCAAAATTTTTTCGTTAACCGAAGTGAAGATTCTTATGGAAGGTAATTCGTTAACCGAAATTTCGTTAACCGAGGCGTTCGTAAACCGAGGGACCACTGTATATCCTGTATATCTTAAACCCTATTTATTGTACTGTACATGACACCTGATGTATTTAATAAATAGAAAATAAAAATATGCAACATTATATACTGCATAATGATGATGAATTTCTGATGTCCACTGTGAAAAAGGAGAGAACACACTAAACCTGAGAATGTGATATATATTATCTTCAATAAAATACTGCAGAAGCAGAAGGTTAACCTTATTGCTATAACACCATAAGTTCCAGTTCTGGCCAAAACTTGATACTGTTAGTATATGGTTCTGGTGCATCCCTAGTGTAAATGTAATATAATTCACAATCTTCTATATGCTATTGTACAACATTACCTGAAGAACTCTGTGCAGCAATGTGGGGAATCTGATTCCTTTTGAAATGGTTGTCAGAGAAAATCTTTAGAGCCAAATTGGCATCTACTTCTAATCTCTCAAAACGATGGCTGGCCATGGCTAGTTTCACCATTTCTCCCGATAAAATACGCAATTCTTCCTATAATATGAAACAAATGCAATGTAAAACACACAATGTTAAGTAAACCAAAAATATGAATAATCTTATGTTGTCCTTTTATGTTAATAAATTGTCATTATATGACCTACAGTATATGAAATAAAGTAAACAAATCTACAAAAACTTCATGCCAAATCTCACCTTGGTAGGTTCCCATTTGGTTATCTTTAGGTCGACGTCATATACAAAACTTCCACTTCGTACTGGTGGGAAAAATTTAAATAAACTATCACACTTCATGATAATGTATACAGTAAAGTTTTTTTTAATTCTTTGCATCAGATTATTAAATGGTTATGAAAGTAAAAAATAAATAAAAAATATACCTGTATACGTAGTGGAGTCACAATAATTTGTGGGTTAGGTAACAGAAGACATGTTGAATTATCAAATCACGCATAAGAGATCAATTGATTTAAAGTGAAATAATTAATTAGGTTCCAGAGACCAAAAAACACACACAAACTGTTCAAAAACTGCTTTCACTCAATCAACTAGAGTTCCGTCCTCATATCTGAGGGTTGGTGACCACAGTCCTCCGTTCTAAACGTTCTCGGGCTGTTTTTGACCAATCCTTTAAGTTTATGTATCTCTCTGGGACCCAGTTTTTAATTTCATTCATCCATCCATCCCAGTCTCTGCCTTCCTCCAGCCCTCCTACCCTCAACTTTGCCCATTAACATTTCTGTTATTATCCCTCATCCCTAATTATATGACCAAAATATCATTTTTTTTTTCTTTTTCTCTTGAAGTTTTGGATAATCTTTGAACTTTTCTATTTGTAGCTTACAGACATAATACATAAAAAAAAGACAGTAACACATATACTATATATTATTGTACAAAAACTAGTTCTGTATTTACATAAACAGCTCCTGCCCTTCTCATAAACATCATCTGGGTGACACCAGTATGGAGACAGCCAGGCACTGGGGTTGGCTGGTTGGTCAGATGTTCATCTATATAAACAAAGCACCAGGAATTTAATACAACTCATTAACTCACCTGGGGTTGATTGTGGAATTTTTTTTCTTCGGGAAAATTTATAAACTATTTTACGATAATGTTTCATTAACCCGGCGTCAACAGCAGAGAGAAATGGAGACGAATATTCCGTTCCAGCCACCTGCCAGCCAGACACTTCTCATTCTTTATTTTTCTTATTTTGTAGTCTTATATTTTCTTTATCTCTAGGTCAGATTCGAGCAATGAAATGATATTTATACAGGTTGAACATCTCCAATCTGGTACCCTCAGGACCTGACCAGAGCTGGACGATAGAATTTTCCGAACCAAGGGTGGTCAATATATTACCGTACCAAAACTAATACTATGCATACAGAACAGTACATACAGTCATTCAATCCCATACTTTTTGCATTAAAATTTTAACATAAAAATTCTAACTAGTATACTTATGTACAGTAAACTGTATGGTAAATAAGCCATCAAACAATACTGTACTGCATGAATATGTTTAGTGTTGTTACATAATTTTAAGGTATTGGAAGCACAAAAAATGACATGAAAAAAATTCATGCTGGACCATTGAAGTTTGCCCTGTATTATACAGTATTTTCTTTATTTCTATGTCACATAAGAGCATTGAAGTGATATTTATATTAAATTGTTTTTAATTTCTAAGTCATATTAAAGCATTGAAATTATATTTCCACAACTTTTATGGTTTCTTATGTAAATACACACTGGCAGTTTTGGAAATTTATGGGTATTTCTTGGCCTCTGGAACCAATTTAATGACTTCAATTTAAATCAATGAAACTATACGTAATTCACAATTTGATAATTCACGATGTCTTCTAGTACCTAACCCGCGAATTATCGAGATTTCACTGTACAGTAAGTAGAGTACTTGTAAGCCTAGACAGTACAAACATGAATGACGATGGGTTACTGCAATACTTCTACTGCATTTTTGAACTGATAGAATATATGCACTGAACACCAAATCAAATGACTCCTGATCTTTGGCTTTAGTAATGGGATCCCTAAATAATTTATGTGCCTATTAAAATATGAAAATAAGTACAGTACAGTAAAAAGAAAAGACAGGGAAACATTAATATTAGCTTCAATGGCGATAAAATGCAGGAAGCAAAGTGTTTCTTATAACTGGAAGTAAATGTGACAGCAAGTGGAACACTGAGTGATGAACTAAACCACAGAGAAGTGGAAAGAAAGAAAGTAATAGGATCATTGAGATGTGTATGAAGACAAGAAGTGTATCAAAGGAGGCAAAGATGAGGATACTAGAAAATCAGTAGTCATTCAACTGATTTTATTATAAAGGTATGATATATGGACTTTGGATGCACGGAAAAAAGGGAAGGTAACAGAAGAGGTCAATTAATCCCTTTTTGGGAAATCAATTACAGTACACTTTCATTCCCCATTACACCTATCAGTCCTAAATAGTGGATATCAGGTTTAAAAGTTGCTCTGCATAAACAAGGGGTCTATTTAAGTTGTGGTTAAACAATCAGCACATTTTTATACTAGAGCAAAGACTCTATCATCTTTTTTTACAGGCAAGTCCTCTATTCTGATACCAGCTGCAAATGATTAAGCCAATAACTGCCTGGTAAGGACCTAAGTCAATAAATAGCTAATTACAACTTGATACTTACTGCCTGATTATGGCCTCTGCAGAAAAAAAGGATTTCAGTCAAAATTAACTTTATTCTATGAATAATTTAAGCAAATCATCAACTTCACTCTACATACCATTGGGAGAGGGAAAGGAGCAAAGTTCAACATATATATTGTCTTTGAATACTGATTCCAACACTGCCCCAAGCATTAGTGATGCCGATCGCCAAAATGCTTTATTGGCATAATATGGATCATTCTGTGGAGAAATAAGAAAATATGATTATGAAAAACATACAAAAAAGAACAGCAGGGAAAATATACTGATTTCTTAATATTGTAAAATATTTGTAAAAGGTAGTAAATTTAGTATCTCCTCCAGACAGCTCTAAAATGGCAGAACAATTAGTATCCTTAATGTATACCATCCCACACTTTGTGCCATGTCTGGAGACAGAATGAGGGAGGAAGGTGCCAATGTACAATGTGAGAAGAAAAACAGAGATAGAAAACTTGTTCAATTTTTCCCAAATCTCAGTCTTCTAGTTCAAATAAACAGAGCAACCCCTGAGTACCCCCTTTACAGAACTCATATCCTCAAGGCGTGTGCTTCACTCAGCACCTGGAGACAGGTGGTGATATGCAAAGTCAAAACAACCAGTGGGAACGAATGGGAACCAATGGTAAATTATACCCATAATTATAATCAAATGCATATCCACTGGATATGCATTTACTGGATATTATCCAGTAATCCAGTAAAAGGTCTGATGTAACTACAGTTATTATAAATTTTCTTACATTTCATCATTCAGATTGTAATTTTGATATATTTTCCAGTGCATTGACGTGTATTGGTATTGAAATACAGTATACACAATATATACACTTATAAAGTATCTGCAGGAATAAAACTTAAATTATGGGTTATTTTGAAATTCTGGCAGTTCTCTTCAAGAAAGTTTTACCAAATAATTTGATCCACATATTGTAGTAGATAAAAGTTTATACTGGAGTACTCATCCTGTGGTAGATTGTATCAACTGTTCTGAAACTAGTGGACTAACACTGCTCATAAAACCATGAACTAAATCAATCCCTGGGTTAATGATACTTTTGTGGGGACTCTACAACATGTCTCATAAGGTACTTTATATAGATGTGCAAAAGTTTTGAAGAAAATACAAACAGTCCAATACACTACAAGCCAAGTAATACTCCTATCCCTTATGCTGGGTATGCTTATTCATTTGCATTAACTCACTGTGAACAGTTTTGGAAAAACTACAATATCTGGAAAAATTTCTCCTGCTTACCTACCATGACACTATAACATATGGGATTAAAGTGCCCAATCAGCCCTATGACTAAGAGGTAAAAACCAGGAAAATAATTCAGCTCATCCTAATCAATGTAACTTTGGAAAAAATGTAACATAAAACCCTCACCTGTCTAAAGTGCAAGAAACGAAGCCCACAGTTGTCTTCCAGGGGTCTATGCATATCCCACACCTGACCATCCACTTCAGCGACCACAGATCTTTCTAAGATCATTTGGTTTATGTCTGATAATATAAAAAAATACATCATTATTCAGTCGTACAGTACAGAATACATAAAGGTTATATTCCTATTACATACTGTATTTACCAAAGAGTAAATAAGGAATTACCATATTACAGTATTATGACATACAACTATCTGAAAAATTATGAACAGTTGACTGAAATCCTGTTTATGCTAAAAACTCTTTTGAAATTGTTCTTCAATATTAATTCATTACTGTACACATACTTTACTGCATTAATAAAATATAGATTATTTAAAAATACTGTAACATATTAAAGTACAGGTACCGTAAACCGATACAGTACTGTACTGTATCTTGATTTATGATAACAGGGTGGATAGCAGATACCCGTCCGGAATCAAATTCCAGACATTTCCCAGATTTTTCAGGCCATTTTCATGACAAATTAAGTCGTTTGGGCATTATTATGGTACAAATTACAAAAATAATACTGTATACAGTATCTGATGAATAAAGATTCCATCTGAGTACCCCATAGGGGGTTTTCTCCAGAAATGAATAATATTCCAATACTGTGCAGGAAATATAACACAGAAAACAAAGAGTGAAGTGATATTCATTAATGAAAACAGCAGTGAAACCATGCGTATACTGTATATCTATATTCTATAGCCTAATTTTGAAAGGTTTATCAGTACGTAGATAATTTTCCTATGCACTCCTTAACAATCATCTTCAGAATGAACTTTTTCCAGGTATACAAACAAATTCCAAGCAATTTCCAGATTTTCCAGGCTGCTGTCCACCCTCAATAACTCTACACTATTTACAGTTTTACACTAGTATACTGTATATAACTTACCATTTTTTTATTTCTGATACTGTATTTAATACAGTACAGTATTTATGTTTTCTAAAAACTTTTTTTGGGGTGGAAAACATGTCCAGTGCAGTAATTACCTATTATTGTATGTTTAAAGAAAATTAACATCACATAAGTTCCACACAGTTTGACTGCCTATAGGTAATAAAATAATTTACAATTTAATGGACTCTCTGGCAATTCCCTGGATTCTTTAAGTGTTTTACCTATTTAGAGATGACAGGAAAGTGACATATGGGTAGTAGAAAGTAAACCATAAAGTGTGAATCTGGTTCTTGTGAGGTCAGGATAAGCAAGGGTGACCTGTGTGTGAACTTTGGGTGGGTTGTAATTCAACTTCATTTACCACATTAGTAAATTTATTTTTTGAAATTTGGTACTGTATTATCACAAGGAGTTACTACTGTATAAATAACTTCATAATTTAATTAGGTTTTACTGCACTAACTTTACAGTACTACAGTGCTAAAACATCATACTGCACTGTCTCTAAACAATGTACTGTACTACAGTACTGGTACATCACTCCTATGTACAGTACAGTAAGCCATATACTGTACAGTATCTTTTCTTACGTTGAGCACAGTTGAAAGGAGTAGACATATTTTTGTTCATAATAAGGGTGCAGTCTTCTGGATGTCCATAATATTTTACTTCAATTTTCTCAATGTCAGTAATGAGAGCAGCTTGTCGTTTTGCCTCCTTAGAGAAGAGTTCTGTCCGTTTCTTCTGAACCACAGCATTGGTGAGGGTTTGTTTGTGATAAAATCCTGAAATGAGCAGAGAAGGAAAATTGCAATTACCCCCCCGTATATTTTTTACCAACACCTATACTGTATAACATATTACATTACATTTTAAACACATCATCAAGGTGGTTATTCATACTGAAAGACATCCAGACTAATTTGCTTCCATATAACTAGGATGGTGATACCCAGTACTGTACTCTACTGTACTGTACTGTACTGAACTGTTACTCTCCATTTTGTCTATACGGTAATACTAATACAGTACTGTACTGAACAGTACAGCTAATATTTGGATCTTGACTATTGCTAGCTAAACAGACAATTTGGGTCTTATTTTTGTCAATATGTGATGCTTAATGGAATGCAGATAGTCTCTTTTTTTGTAGAAATGCAAAAAAAAAAAATCAACTTCCAAGTTGAGAATTTTTGTCAGGAGAGAAAGTTATCGGCTGAAGATGGTATTGTCCCAGCCCCTCTGAAATCCCGATTATTCTCCCCACCAGTCACTCTGTGACTTCACTTCGTGACAACAAGTGACTACAGTTAGGTTAGATTATGATTGGTAATGCTATGATTTGTTGCTTTTCAATGGAAATTGGTCATAGTAACGTAAAAAAAAAAAATTCTCCATTGCAGTAAGCATCAAATATTGAGCATAAGACCAAAATTGTCCGCCAAACTAGCAACAGTCAAGATCCAAATAATTATAGAGAGTACAGCACTGTACTTCAAACCTGACTGATATTATAATACCGTAATTACATTGAAAGCTCTTGAATTTGGATTTTGCCACTAAACTGATAAAAAGGAGAGTTCTGATAGGAATACTGTATACTGTACAGTAGGTCTATATGCTTATAAAAGAAATGACTTGGTTATACAGGTTGTACCTCTCTAGTCCGGCAACCTCGGGACCTGACCGGTGCTGGACCATGGAAATTCACCCTTTTCCTGGATAGATAGTGACTTGTGCTTATGCTTGGAAGCACTAGCACCACTTTCTCTGCATCATGGTCTCTTTGAAGACATATTGAAGGGTTAAATGTCGTATAGTAGCGTCTCAAATTTCGCGATTTTTAATTCAACGTATTTTATTGGAACACAAAAAATAAAATAAAATAAAAATTTTGACGGCGGAAACTTGAATTTCGACGGGTTTGAACAGCCCGCCAAAATGCAGATGACGTGCATAATCGTGTAAACAGCGTCATTTCTTTTATGTACAAAAGATTCATTATTGTTTATTACTGAATGTCTTTTTTATTGAATTAATGTTATGTGTGCAAAATGAGCAATACAATTCATTAATAATACGTAGAATATTAAAACACACGAGGAAATGACACAGCATTGTTTTCGTTGATTACAAAACCAGTGACTGACTGGTTCTACATATAAAACTGTTTGGATATTAAAAATATGTTTTTCCGATGTTTTATTTGATGAGTTTCGAACGAATTTGATATTCCTTTCAGCAGGAAATCAATAGTTTTTTTAGATCCCCCCGCCCCCCCACCATACCCATCAATCTTAACGAAAACGCATTTTTTCGAGTAAATCACATAAATAAAAAACCAACTAACCCACAAAACCAAACCTAACCTAACCTAACACTATTTTTCTGATGAAACTCTACAATTGACTTAAAATAATCTCTATCACAATGTCGGCACAGCTCTTTCTACCTGTTCAGCCTTATCTGTTATTTTGGTATTGAAAAAATCAAATCTCCGCTCCTGACGCACCCACGCATTGTTCATTGGCTAAGACAAAAAACTCTTACCCAATTATAAGTCTCCTATCGCTATAGCCAATAAGAAACTCCCACACCACCACCCCTGCACATGCGCTGTAACCACTTAAGAAGCCAACACGGAGATACGGAGCACTGCATGATGGGCGGTCAGAATTTCTCTGCGAGACGCAAACAACAAATGGCGACACTTGTGACTGACCATATCTAATAATATTTAAAAATTATTATCTCGGTTATCCTTAATTTCCGGCGGGAATATCACAGAAAAAAGGGTTTAGAATTGTCTAAACATTACATGAAACATATTAATACAGATCAAGAAATACCGGTGAAAGATGGAAAATTCACCAAAAAATTTCTTGAAGTTCCTAGTTAACAAGTGATACCATGTTGCCTCCTTGTATACTGAAGGCCTAATATACAGTGTGTTGTATCCGCACTCATTCATTCTCATGGAACCCACTATCTTTTTCACTGCATTACCCCCAACTTAACCTAAATGGGGGAGCTCTCAGACCACATATACAGTACAACAGTCTGAGATATCACTCACACATATTAACAAGGATAGAGTTGAGCCTGGAAGAACTCCCAGACCACTCTATCGGTCATAGAGGGCCACACACACCTTCCTTATAAATGATCCGTCATTTTTATAACAAAATTCAGCAGTTTCAAACTTTACTTTGTCTTAAACAGCAAAGCCGGAGTGGTGTAGCCAAGAGCAGCTGCCGATGAGTTGTTTGCATTTTGTGTACTATATATGACTTCTTGGTGTACAGTATTTTATTCCGAGTTAGTTATGTATGTTTACAATGAACAGTGAACACAGATGAGACACAACACAGATGAACAGTGAACACAGATGAGACACAGCTGGGTAAATCACACTTCCTCACTATAGAAAACGAATATTCACAACCCAATACTTATTACAACTTTACAATTATATGACTCTTAATTCCTAAATAACTTAACTTCAGTAGGTCTAGATATCAATATTGTATGTATTAAATAAATTAAACGAAGAAATAATCGCTATCGGGTGAATATAATTTAAAATAGTTACCCAGATTATTACTTTATAACCCTATTTTTTCTTTACTAGATGGCGGTGAGAGTCTCTATGTTAGGTTTTGTCCATTACATATAACACAAGTGAAGTATCTGACTTAACACAATAGTGAGACCCAAACAAACATGGGCAGGAGAGAATGACTACGTTTTAGGAAAGTGAATCTAATATATACAGTATAACAAGTAAGTTGAGTTTCAGTGTGTAGTAGTGAGTCCCTCATATCTCTTGTGAATAGGTTAAGGTATATACTATTGTGGTTATTTCTTGGTCAATAGTCGGGGTGCATTGGGTAAAGTTTATACTTGAGGGAAAACATTCAATATATCTTCCATATTATATTAATTTACCATATTTAGACATAAAGCTACAATATTCACGACTAATTATCTTATTATTTTTGTATTATCTAAACAACATCTCCGGAAAAATGTAACCAATTCTATAAACTTGGTGTTAACCGTCTCCTCCACTATTACTAACAAACTACATAATATAGCAGTACCTAATATTTTGGGAAGTTCCAAGACTTGCTGAATGTAATGAAGGGCACTCAATATTGACGACTGACCCACCGGCACTTTTGCGTAGTAAACAATTATTTAATGCCGTAATTTCATTGTGTTTTAAAGAGGACAGTGTCGTAGTTTGTGCAAATGTTTTTTTTATAAAACCTAACCTAAACATAAAACCTAGCAAAACTTAACGGGATGTGCCCATTTTGTCACCACATTTTTTACCCGTTTCGTCGTCGCATTCATTCCCATCACTATATCAAGGGCAATACATTACCAGAAAATCCTTACATAATTAGTACATCAATATGTACACGAAAATTTCACCAAGTTTGCCAAAATAACTGTTGCTTGGGATACAAAATCATCAAAACACCTAGTTTACACAATTGTATTACGAAATTATGCCTCATCATAATAATACATTGGATCATGCAAGCATCTCACTAAGACAATTTATTAAAGACGAAAATAAAAAATATAAATGTTATTACTCATGCAAGCATCTCAACTAAACAATTTATTAAAAGCTAAAACAAAACAAAAACATTGTTCATTCTCCTGCAATCATCTCACTTAAACAATATGTGAAAGACTAAAATAAAATGAAAAATAAAACATTGTTATTACTCATGCAAGCTTGGAAGAAGACACTGACAATTTTTTAGAATATTAGAAGTGGTGATATTTTTCTTTTTTTCATATTCATCACACAGCTTCCAGGGACGGACTTGTTTGTCATGATTTGCTTTTCTTGTGCATAGATTTTAGCTTGTGCCCAGCAACTAGTTGTAATTGCAAATCAACCATTGAGGCTTCTCTGTGAAGCAGAAGGACAAGGAGGTATAGAGCGAGATTGTTCTTTGCTGCTCGGTGGTTTATGCGTTGGTGCCAAATCACCTTCATTTGTTCTGTAATTTGTTTATTTACCAATGTTTTAATCATTTTCTTTATTAAACAATTAATATTCATGTATAATTATAACACAATAATTGTCGAGTCATCTGTATACATGTGTAATTTCTATTCGTGTAAAATAATAACTTACAATTTGTCAATCTAATACCAGCGACTCATGGTCTGTTAGTGGTGACGGAACAGATTTGATATTGGTGACAAAATATTTTTGGGGGTGATGAACCGGGTTGGTGACGAAATGGGGTGTTTCCAACTTAACACATGCCTTATGCAAACTTACTGAGACGGGGGAAACAGCGAGTCACGGCGTTGAGGAAGTGGTGAAGGATTGTGTCGTGGTCTCAGTGAATGTGGTAGAACAGGTAGCGTTAATGTTACACTGGAACAAATTTCTCTCTGGTCGTAAAACAGGGATTCCCTCAATTTGGACAGTCTCTTTTAGAAGGAAGGATGCTGCAGTCTTTGAAAAACTGGAGGGTGAGATCATCTTTCCCCTGAATTTGCAAATTAAGTCCATATAAGACCAGCGACACTCTTCACATGCCATGGTGAAAATGAAGCTGGTAAGGGAGAGTGCAGCAAGTGTGCCAAGGAGTGCTGCGGCGTGTTTTGAAATACTGTACATCAATATGATTGGCTGTTTACATATAGGGATGAAACGTCACCGCTGCATTACCACCGAGGAGACAAAGTAGTGTGCACCCTAGGCACCTAAATGTCTACCAAACGAAGCATTTGCACAAGAAATTATTATCATATCAGTACTCACTGATGAATGTATTAAAAGAAAAGAAACACCAAAACAAATAACTCGTCGGCGGGTCAGTCGTCAATATTGTAGTGGATACAGGTACAGCAGCCGTACTCCAAAAATCGCACTGGAAATAGGTATGGCAGCCATATTGAAAAACTGTGATGTTAATGGTTAGGGTAGGTTATTCAGGAAGAAGGCCATCTTAGTAGCTATCAGTGTACCGGTAGCTCTAGTCTACTCACCACGCGTGCGCATTAAGCTGCAGTACGAATAGACATCGACTTTTTGCATACGGCAGCCGTACCCATATCCTGTGCCTAATAAAAAAGGTACAACTTTTCCATTAATTAAAAAATTTGTCCTTCATCTTTCGATCATAAATCACGTATAGTGGACAGGGCATGAAAGAAGAGGGGAATTATGAGGGGAAACAGCAAAACACTGATCATATGCCAGTGATTCAATGTCTATAAGTGCTTTGTATCCAAAGAAATAAAAAATTTTCCCGTAAAAATGGCACTGTCAATTCTCAAGTGGTGACCATGGTGCTGGTTTGCTCTTAAACTATAAGGAAGTGAATCTGGTATTTTAAAAAAGAAAAAAAAAAGCGATGGAGGAGCACATTGGGAGTTTGTAATACCATAATAAAGGCCTAGTTATCTTTTATTTTCTATTTTATAGCCTTCAGTTTACTGTTTTTAAAGTCTATGTCTGTGCAAACCCTGTACAGTATATTTTGTTCTTACTGCACAATAAGTTTGGAAACCTCTTTTATGTACAGTATACAGGATGAAAATCATTTACAGTAGTTGGGATTGAAATCCATAATAAAGGTTTGGATACCTTACGATTTTACTTGGAGTATCATTGGATTCTACGTCAACTGTATATTCCTATTTTTATTGTTGTTCCTCAAGGTGACGTTAGCCCTCTTTTCTTTCAACTACGGAATTATGGCGCCGTGTTCTTTAAGTTTTCACAAGCTGTCTGTGCTTATGGAGGATCAAGACTTGATCTGTGAACATGGACTTGTTGAAAAGATGTGCAAATGTCCAAAATTGCAGCAGGGAAGTGACATTTAAAAAAAATTATTTGTTTAAGCGTAATACATGAACTCAATATTAAGGTAATTTCCTTCTGCTGTTAGTCTTAACAACTTTATATGACGAGTGGACCGCCCCCTGGTTAGGAAGTTCGGTTATGTGGGTTTGGTTAGGTTAAATTGGTTATGGCAGGTTACTTGCTTTGTCATATTGATTTAGTACCATCCAAATAACAGCTCTGGAAATTTGGGTCCAATTCCAAATTTCCTTCTGGTGTTAACCGTCTCTTCCACTATTACCAGTTCATTGTCCATAAATTGAACTGGCAGTTATGGTTTGGCAGTGTAAATCTACAGAACTCTAAATTGATTTTTTTATACAGGGAGATAGAGCATAAACTTGAGCTTCACCGTAACATTATTACTGTACTGTATATGATTTTAACATACGTAATATTTCTCCCCAGCATTTGAAGATCACATGTAATAGCTATTCTTCATTGATCCAACCAAAGCATTCTGCCAACAGCACAAGATTTATCTTATCATCCTGTATAAAATAGAAGATAACTACCAGGATAGTATTTTCTGTTAAGTTAGGTAGTTGATGTCTCAGAAAGTTACTCTGTTCAAGTGTAGGTTTGTATGAAATGCTGTTCAGGAGAAAATCACCACATTAATATAAGGAAATTTTCAAATCCTCTTCATTTCTTGAAATTGCCAAAATGAATTTTACTAGATATAGTAAGATAGTTATGAAAAATCTAATATCATCCTTATTACAAAAATATTCTAAAGATGTTGGTTGCTCATGTGTAAGGAAGATAGCAGCACCATGTTCAGGATGGAAGAGATAGTAAATACAGTATAGTTTCCCAAGTTCCTGGTTTATGTGCAGTACAATACTCTCATCCAGTATTAACGACCTTTCTTGTGCACCTAAACTACCTGTTTTTGACTAGTTTTGTATTGACAGTTTTCTGGGGGTAATACAGTACTTTAAGATGTTTACACACCTAAACCACCTGCTCTCAACAAATAGTACTGTACAATACAGTTTGTTGAAGACAGCTTATTCCTTTCCTCGAGAAATTGGAAATAGGGTGATGAATTGCAGTTTTTGTTTGTATATTTCTATTTCCAAGTATTTTTCTTCCTGATCAGTGATCTGTTTACCTGCATCATCTCTTAGCTGTCGAAGTGCAGTAATGTAATGCATTATATCAACACCTCAGAACTGCGTACTTCAGCCCTACCCACCCCCTGTACTACTTGTCTTAGCCCTATCAACCCCCTGTACTCCTTTACCTCAGCCCTACCAATCCCCTGTTCTGTCTACCTAAGAAGGAATGAAGAATCTGTATCAAATTCTTTGAAAATACTGTATTAGGTTTATTTACTCTGATTTTTAGCACAAATACTTTTTCTGATATTAAGTTAACACTGTATGTATTATTCTATTCTCAGGATTCCTAAAAAATGAGCATACCAAGTTTACCGCTCTCCTCAGTACTACGGACCAGACATGAAGAAGCAGAGGGCGATGAACCAAAGAAAAAAACACGAGAAGAATGGAAGAAGGCAAAAGAACTTGAAGAAGCCCGGAAAGCTGGTACTGTTCCAGCTGCTGTTGATGAAGAAGGTAAAGACATAAATCCCCATATTCCTCAATATATAGCAACAGCACCGTGGTATTTTGGTTCACTTGGTCCAACACTTAAACATCAGCGTCCACAACCAGAAAAACAAGACTCATTTAATCATCTCAATGAGCATTATGTTAGGGGACATAAAGGAAGTACAGCCACACGTTACCGAAAAGGTGCGTGTGAAAATTGTGGAGCCTTAGGGCACAAGAAGAAGGACTGTGTAGAGAGGCCCCGCAAAGTTAGTGCCAAATATGATGCTCATAATATTGCACCAGATGATATTATGCTACCCGATCTTAACCTTGACTTCGATGGAAAGAGGGATAGGTGGAATGGGTTTGATCCATCTGAATATGCAGCTGTTGTTGAAGAACATAAAAAAGTAGAAGACTACAAAAGACAGATTAAGGCTAAGAAATTAAAGGAAGGGGAAGAGATGAGTGATGGTGAACCAGATGATGATGATGAAGATGAGGACAAATATGCTGAAAGTGTTGATATGCCAGGTACCAAAGTAGATAGCAAACAAAGAATTACAGTGCGTAACCTGCGTATACGTGAAGATACTGCCAAGTACTTGAGAAATCTGGACCCCAGTTCAGCTTACTATGATCCAAAAACACGTTCCATGAGGGACAACCCTTACAAAGGTACCGGAAGAAAAGATGATGAGGTTGACTTTGCTGGAGAAAATTTTGTGAGGTTTTCTGGAGATACTGTTGCCCAGGCTAAGGCTCAGCTGTTTGCATGGGATGCTTATGAGAAAGGTGTAGATGTCAGTCTTCAAGCTGAACCTACAAAACTTGAACTGTTAAAAAAGCAATTTGTTAACAAGAAGGACGAATTCAAGAAAAAGGTATCAGATGATCTTTTAGAAAAATATGGTGGAAAAGAACATTTAGATTCTCTGCCAACAGAACTTTTGCTCTCTCAAACAGAAAATTATGTTGAGTACTCCCGACATGGCAAAATCATCAAAGGCGCTGAGAAGCAGACTGTACTATCAAAATACGAAGAAGATATTTATCCAGGAAATCACATGAGTGTCTGGGGAAGTTACTGGAGAGATGGTGTGTGGGGATATAGTTGCTGCCACTCTTTTGTAAAGAATTCATATTGCACAGGTGAAGCTGGAAAAGTAACAAAATCAGAGGTACCATTAGTTGGTACATCAACTTCAGCTGTTCCTGACACACCTCACAGAGATAGTTCTGATGAAGAGAACACAAAAACCCTGCTTGAACTACACAGGGAGAAGAAAAAGAAAAAGAAAAGGAAGAAGAATAAGAAGATGAAGAAAAAGAAGGATAGTAGCAGTAGTAGTAGTGAATCTAGCAGTGAATCAGAAAATGAGGAGAAAAAGGAAGAAAAACGTAAACAGAAGTTGCGTGAAGCACTGATTCGTGCCAAGATGGAAGAAGAAGCAGCTCAAGAAATGATGATGTTGAATGAACGTGAGCGAAGTTATAACTCAATGTATAAAGCCAAGAAACCCACAGAGGAGGAGATTGAAGCATATCAGATGAGAAGACAGAGAGAAGATGACCCCATGGCTGCATTTCTTAGTAAATGAGGTTAAGGTTTAAATAGATATGCCTGGGACAGTATTCTGGTTTGCATATAGACACTGACTTGTTTCATACCTATTTAAAATGCATCGATCTTAAAAGGGTTCTCTTAATAATATACCTGTACTTTAGTCACATTTCACATTTATGTTTGCATTAATAGATATGTTAGAAAAATTTCAACAGATTCCTCTGAAACATCATGGGTTACTGCATTTGACAAGGTGATGCAAGCCAATAATACATGTTCAAAAGTGAATGGATTCACTATTAAATGAACTTGCTGATAGACAAGCAATCAAGGGGAACAAGTAACCCACCAGTTGGTGAATATGAATAATCAGAACAAGGGTTCAGCATCTATCCTGACACCCTACATCATAGCAAGAAAAGGCTTGCCAGTTTAAAAAATATATACCATAATTTTACTTAAAAATCTTGGAAGTTTCCCTATCTATCTTTTTTTTTTTTTTTTGCATTCAACTTACTATAGTTGATGTGAAATTTAAATAAATTTGAACATTTCTTAAGTGGGATTATATTACTTGGCTCAATTTAAGTAAAAAAAAAAAAAGAAAAAAAAGGGGCATATAAATACTGTACGTGCAATTCACCTTGGACATGACACAAATTATCATATCCAAACACGGCACAGTATCACTAATCCAAATAACCCACAATAAAATAAAGAACTGTACAGTACAAGGTTCTGAAATAATTTTGTTTTTAAATTAGATGATACTTGGGATATCCTGTCTCCTAATCAGAGGTCAAGGTTGTGTGTACTGTAGTTTAGAGAAGAGGTACACATGGAAGCTACACTCTTGTCCAAACCTCCCTCCTCTCAGAGAGGAAGTTTGACTCCCTTCAACTCCAGTGTCATTCCCTCTGTGAGGTGACAACTAAAGTGGAATGCCTCCCTTTTGTGTAATGAAAACTGCCTGTCGGGCAAATTTTTACCATTTCATTTAAAAGCATTGCTTACAATTATAACAATGTAACTACTGTACAGTATTTGCAAATAAAGTTGGTTAAATCTTTACAGGTAATCCTTAATTACCTCAGTGAATAGCAATTTTGCCTTGCCAGCTGAGTGGGCACTTGGTAGTCCTACATAAATAACAAGATACCTTAAAGTAAAAGTAAATTAGCTATAGAAAGAGCTGTAATGATTATTTGTGGTAACTGGGACATCATGCCACCAAGCAAAGAAAGCTAACACACTCAAGCATGGAAAATGGTCATAAAATGAGGAGGAGGAGGGTAGGAATGATGTTCTCCTTGTACAATTTGAATTTAAAATCTCGAATATAAATTTTCTGCATTTACCATGATATACCCTGTGATCAATTTTACAATTAAATGAGAAAATTACATACAGTTGGGTCTCACTTTACGCGGTTAATATAACCCACAGGGTACCGCGGAAAGTGAGAAACGCGTAAAGTGAACAACATAACATATGGGATTAATTGAAATAGAGACCGGGCCGACCCCCAAACTCCACTTTTTGACGACACAACTATGTTGTAGTAAAAATATTATCTTAACTTTATGATGGTATGCACACACAATTAATAATTAAGAGAAATATCAATAATATTAGGTTTTTTAACACTTACATTAGTAGAAAAGATGGCTGGGCACACAGGGATGGGCGGTTGGTTCCGAGGCAGATTATTGGCCCTCACCTGTATCAATCGTATCGCTATCCACCACAGAGGCTTGCAGGGCTTCTTTGTCAAACCCCTCAAAGTCCATAGGTATCCTCACTATAATTATCACTTGGGCCGGCTGTGGTGGGTGAAGAACTGGTAATGTTTTGATGACTGGGCGACCTTGTGAGCACCATGCTCGCGCCGCTTACACAACATGGTGGATGGCGGGAGGTTTAGATCCAAAAATGGCGCGGCTCGCCAGCCGCTCTCCGCGTAAAAGGGTACACGCACCGCGGAATGTAAGCATCCTGGGTTCCGGCAGGGCACCGCGTAAACATGGAAACGCGGAATGTGGGACCGCGTAAAGTGAGGGTTGACTGTATCGATCATAGCATGTTGTTTTTCACTATTACAGAGTTGTTTGCCCTCAAATTTGTCTCTCTATGAAGTCTAGGGTAAAATAAATGTTCACTATTGACTGTGCAGCACTTTTATTATCTTAACCATAGCAGGTAAAACAAACAAAAAACTTTATCATAACTGGTATGAAGATTGAGGTGTACAGTATATTATATTTTCACAGGTATCTGTTAAGTAATTGTAAATTTGAAAGGATAGAAAAAAATTAATTACATAAATCTTTTATTCATGTGTCATATAAAAAAGACATTTGAAGACTAGCCCTTACATACCAACTACACCACATGGATACGAGTTTCAGCTCGTGTACAGCTACCACTGCAATGTTGTAAGACTTATGAAGGTGGAATAATAATAATTTAGATGAAAGATAAAAACTGGCATTTTTCTCACAAATTAAGTATTTTAATAAATTTTATACCGATCACACAAAAAAATCTTCAAGTACATGTGATTTACTCATTAATGAAAGAACATTTTGTTTTACTAGAATAGAATTAAAATCTGTAAGTGAGCAAATCTGGAAGTAACTGTGGACTCCTAAATACTGTATCTTTATTTGCCTATTTACATCAAACTGTCAAGTCTAGAAACAACAATTGCATTATATGGACACATTATATTGATAAGTCACATGAAAATATTACCTTTATAATAATCCATAATAACCCATGGGTGTCACACAAGAACACTTCCGGCTATGTACCGGTTTCCCTGATTGCAATCTATACTACATTCATCACAGAAGCGCTTCTTGGAAAACAGTTGGGTTAAATTCCAAACCAAGACACAGCAAAGTGGTGACATGACTTATAAAGTGAACTTGTAGGGTCACATGGGTTGAGTATTTTTACCCTATTGTTTGACCAGAACTGTAGTGGAAACCCACTTGGTATGCCCTGGGATTGAACATTGGCAAGTAGTGCAGCACAACAACACGCTAACCACTACAATGCCGAGGTGATTTTAAATGAAGAATGAAACAAATTCACTGAGATTCAGATTAGTGCATATACAGCACAAGTTAAAATTCAGTATACTGTACTGAGATAGGTGCTATGCTTGGTTTATCAACCCATTCTTAAACAAGAGAAAATATTTCCTTTAATATTGAAAACAAAAAAATTAAAAGGCATCTAATAAGATTTGGAGAATAATGGTAATAATAATAATAATATAAAGATTTTTAACTAAACATAAAATCTGAAAAGATATCGTTTCCATAGCCTACCATTTTTCATAAAGTAACAAAATGCTACAGAATATTTTACGATGCATTTATCAAGGAATCACAGGAGACACCAGTCAACCTTAACTACAAATCTGAAACAAAGTGACATGGTGTTCAAATTTTATACTGCATATTGTATATTCTTTCATAATCTGCTTACCGGTAGTTGGGATCTTATACACTATATTAGGATTCTCTTTACCAAGATAACTCGGTAGAGCCCTTATCAGTAAATAACTAGATGAACTTGTACACAGGAGTTTATGGCATTTATTGTCAGAGCCTCCACAGCCAAATACAAAAACTTTATAAAAAATTTTCCACTATCATTGGCAGCATCATAAAGGTGGTTGTTTGAGCAAAGCCTCAATGGGCTAGAATGAACTTACTAGCCTAAATTTTATTTTTGAATGATACTTTTGTGGTTAGTTGCTGGATATAAACAGAGTTCTAACTTTGCCTCACTAAATCTCTTTATATAATCAACTAATTATTTTTATTAGAACGTAGCCTCCCCAAACCAGACTGGGAACAAACACCACCTCTCCTCTCTTCTTCATCATCAGATGTGCATACAACAGGTGCAACAGCTCCTCGAGTGGATGTAGCTTGCATCAATTCAGCATCTGGTCCTGTACGATTCTCATACAACAAAACATTTAAGGTTTCTTCATAGATTCTTGCTTCTGGGAACTCAACCTGAAGAAAAAAAAAATTTTTTATCCTTGTCAAGAAGCAACCGATCCAGGTCACACTCCAAATTTACTTCAACCCTTTAGCAGGTAACGATGATGACAACTATGCTAAATGTTCAGAGTTAAGAGGGTAGCAGGGTATTGAGAGTTTTGGTAAGGTTTTGCAGAGAGGTAGGCTGAGGTGGTTTGCACATGTGCAGGGAATGGAGGAGACTAACCAGATCAAGAGATACATGGGTTTGAATGTGGAAGGAAGGAGAACAGAGCTAGGAGTAGGCCAGGAATGACATGGGGACAGGTTGTAAAAATTATCTTGGAAATAAGAACATGACAAGTGAAGCTGCAAGAGCATAAAGAGCAGCTATCAAATTTATAAGATTTTTTTGTTTTGTTTACTCTATATGCATACTTAAGTCAAACTAATGAATGTTTATTTAATAATTGCAACATTAGAACTTGTGAAAATGCAGGTCAAAACAGGGCTAGAATAAGATTACAGACAAATCTTTGGCAGGCTCCTGGATGCCAATGACATTTACTTTCATGGGTATATAATATCATTCCACATACTGTAAATAAATACTGTACTGTACATTCAATACTATAATAAGACAGCTCCTATTAAAATTATCAAATACTGTATTCCTATAAACAGGTGTCGACTGTTATATGATGGATCTACCGGTATATACGATCAATCAGTTTTACAATGTTAAAATTTTAACGCGATGCGATAGCTGTGATCAGTTTTACGACAGTCGCAACCCGAATGCTTTTCCTGCATTGTCACTGCTAATGAAAAAGTGATGTCCAAAAACTTTCACATACAAAATGTTTATTCCCTTCAGATTTTAACCCTATAATTTATGTTTTGTACATTCTTGAAAAAAAAAAATGCATGTCTACCTGCTGTGAGTGCTAACTGGCTTTTTAGGGTCTCAGGAACAGATCAAATTTTTCCCATAAGTTATTACACTAGAACATCGATTTAAAGGAATTAAATTTAAGATTATTGATTTAAAGCGACACCTACAATTAAGGACAATGTTTTAATTTAAAGCGAATCTTTCCTATTTTGCGCGAGTCAATCTGGCGTATCATATTTTAAAATTCGTGCCTAATGTTTCTCTGGGCACGCCACACTGTCCTTAGGGCAAAGCTGTACTGTACATGTACTCAAAATAATGTACTAAATGATTATTAAATGTTTTGTCTAGTGCAACTATAGCAGGATTTTACAGTATTCAAATTAATCACTATCTTATAAGAATTCCAGCAGTATAAATTATATTCTCCCAGGTCACTTTTGTGACATTTTATAAAAAAAAAAAAAATCAATCTAAAGGACATAAACAAATAAATACTTCACTAGACCATCGGCCCCAACTGTCAAACATGTCAGTCACCTCACCTCCCCTTCCTTCCTCCCTCCCAGCCAGGGTTTGGTGGTTATACAGTAGGCTTTAAGTGTTATCTCCAATAATATCACAGACTAAAGTTAGGAGAATATAATTTGCATTGCTAGAATCCTTGCAAGACAGCAAATAATTTGAAAATAAAAGTCATATATTTTGCACGTGATAAAATTTTTAGCCCTTTAATAAAAAAATTTAGAAACAAAATTTGTAGGTCTAATGCAAACTATAGCATGTTTATATTCAAACTAAACACTATCTTATAAGAATTCCAGCAATGTTAATTATATTCTCCAGGGTCAATTTAGTGACATTTTATGAGAGAAAAATTTAAAGCTACTCTTAAGGACAGATAAATAAATAAGCACTAGACCTAGACATCAACTGTCAAACATATCATATCACCCCCCCATCTTCCCAGCAAGTAAACAGACCATTTCACATCTCTTAATTTTAGCTGTGTTGATTTATGAGTGTTTCTTTTAACATAATACTACAAAAAACAATGTTTTGTTTATTCTAGATGGGCTGAGGTGCATCTGGGTAGACTGTCAGTCTTTTTAGTATTTTGTGTTTCTCTCAAGTACCAAACTAAATTATTCCATTGAAACTAACACTTCAATTTAGTGAGAATTCGGTTTAAAGCGACCTCCCTTGGAGCGTTTGGAGCGTATCTCGAGTGTTACGTTCTACTGTAATATTAATATATGATAAATCACTTTATGATGGCTTTTCAAAGTCCCCAACTCCATCCTATAAGTGTCAACATCAGTGTTAAGAAATGCATATTTTCATTTATAAATGAGCTTTTATTACTTGTGTTGACCAAAAAAATTTCAGCATGAACGCTTCTTCATTAACAAGGCAGTACAGTATATGGGGAAAAATGATTAGCTTTACAGAAGTTTGCGATACGGCCACTTTTTCAAGAACACACGCAATCCGTAACACAAGGTCCAGTATATTTTATTTACTGTACAGTATTTAACATGTACTACTCATAAAGGGTGCCTCTTTGGGGGTGTGGTTCCCATAAGCCCATTTTTCCCATAAGGTCTTAAGTTTAACAATCACGGTGTTTTTGAGGAACCTAACCCCCCACGAATGTTGAGGGTTTTCTGTACTATTATATCTCTTATAACGAACGAGATTCGTTCTCGAGGCTGGTCCACTAAGTGAAATATCTGTAAAAGAGGTCAATATAACATGGTGCTTATGGAGATGTGTTCTTAGAGAATGACTTAATAATGCTTAAATGTTACAAAACAGGCCATAAACATTAGAAAAAAGTTGGTTACTTAGAAATCCAAGTGATTCCAAACCGCCTTCGCCGTACGAAAAGTAAACATTAAGTGGTAAGCAAACCACTTCAGTGCAATAACACAACAAAAATAGCTGTCGATAGGTGACTTTTACATTTCATTGAAGACTTTGTTAGCATCAATAATAAATGAAACTAAATTAAATAACACTCACCAGTTAATTTTTTCAGAACTTGATGTGTGGTTTACCACTGCTGCCTTGCTCCTACTCCTCCGTCCTTCGTATCACTTTCATTTTCACTTCCATAGTACTGTACAGTGGTCCCTCGGTTAACGAACACAATTCGTTCCAGCAGGTTGTTCGTTAACCGAAACCATTGTTTCAATGGGTTTTTGGGTAATTGGTTCCAGCTCACCGAAAATTGCCTAAATTCAACAATAATGGTAGAAAAGTTCACTTACTTTGAGGTGTGTATGTAGAAGGCTCCTGGATGATGATGATGATGATGATGATGGGAATTAGAATGGGGGTGGAAGAGAAGTCACCCCATGGCACCATTTCACCCATAAAATTTCAGTTCTCTTGGTGTATTTCAAGATTATTTTCTTTAAATCAACACTGCACTGCATTATATATTGTCAGTATGTAAAATATATTTCAAAATGACCAATAATTTGCTTGGAACACAGAAAAACGCGTTTAGTTGAAGAGAGTCTCAAGCAAGATGTTACCTCCAGTGAAAACAGAGAGAGACTAACGCCTGTTTGCTGTGTTAAGAGGCTGGATGCTGCGCATTAAACTATTCACTTTACCTTCAATTATGTTCAATAATTGTTAAAATGACTAAAAAATTGAATATTAAACTTTTAAAATTATTGAATAGTATAAACTTCTTGATATATACTAAAATAGTAAGGAATTTAAGCCCTAGAGCCGATTTATGTATTGGCGGACTAATACTACAGCTGGTTGACCGGCCAGTGCAAGCGAAAACATGTTGAGGTCGGCTCGTAAGAAATTCGTTAACCGAATTTAAGAATCTTATGGGAGGCAGTTCGTTAACCGAAATTTCGTTAACCGAGGCGTTCGTTAACCGAGGGACCACTGTAATGACTTTTCTGGGCACCTTGGCTAGTTTACCAACACACGCACTTGCAGGCCATTTCCCGGACATAATGAGCATAAAAAGTGAGGCGCTCCGCATTACAATGGGGTGAAGCGCCATATTTAAGCTAGATGGTTATTTTTTTTATTGTGTAGCTCAATCCCTCTCCTAGCACAGTGAAAACTGGATGTTAGTACTGTGAATAGTTATTTTTTTCGCGAGTTAAATGAGATTAACTACCCATGATGTATGGTTGATTGATCCTGAAACCAACAATAATTGCATTTTTCTGCAAAATTTTCTTATTATTGTGGGCTAATACTGTAAAACAAGTTAATGATCACCAAAAACAACACTCGTCTTACACCCCCCCTCATAAACCACCCCAAAATAAAATAATAATAATAAACTCATTTGCCTGTCAGTATTTATCTTTCCGTCCCTATTATTAGCCATAGATTTATAATATTGTTAAGAATAATAGTGTGCAATAATAGTACAACAATTTTACTTTGTTTAGTTCCTTCGTTTTATTATCCCTGATGATCGTAGTAAGTTGAAGTTTCGTAAATCCTGAAGAGTGCGTATAACTTTAATGGCCTCGTCATAATCAATCACAAACTGTTTAAAATCTTTCTCTGCCCTCTCACTCTGAACTGGATGTGACCACCTTTACTTACTGAGCGCACAGCCAGATACGTAGCTCCCGGCCTGAGGCGAAATGACACCTTATTTTTTAAGGACTTTCAACCATATTTCTAGTCCACCTAGGGGGTTACATCCAATGCCAACATGTAGATGAAGGGTGAAAATAGTGATATCCACCAAAAAACGCAATTTTGCCCATGGTGGCGCTTTACCCCCTTGTAATGCCGAGCGCCTCATGTTCACCAAACACATGTAGATTGTGAACATATGAAGAGATCTATCGTGATGCAATGAACACGAATCTTGAGGAGCTACTGTTTATATTTTGAGACATTAGCAGATTGGCTTAGAGGATGTTAAAAAAAAAAAAAAAAAAAAAATGGCACTAAACTACATCATTGATTCTTTTTAACTAAGGCTTAATTGATTTTTTCTTGAATGAAACTATACAATTACTATTACAGGACAGTATTCCCTTAAAGCTCGCGGTTTTAAAGCTTGCGTCCCTTGGAAACTCACGGATTGCCATGGAAAAAAAATATAATAAATCTGAGGCTGTGTGCCAAAGATCAAGATGAGTCAACACTACAGGACAGTACAGAGTACCACATTTCCCAGGTCATAAGATGCACCCTATAATTAGCAAGGTATATTTTGGAAAAAGAACTTTTGCAGATTTAATAACCTACTGTACTGGCTATATGCTATCATGTTTCTCACCACCACAGCTTACTACACTTTATGGACCTACAGTATTATCAAACATTTGTTATTATTATTTATAAAATTTACCTAATTTAATACAAAAAGATATAATTATTCGTATAGGTACCTAAGGTATACATATTACAAATACTTATTGGTACCGGACATGTTCACTAAGAACTGTCCAGTACAGAGATTGTTTACATTCTGTGCACCACATCAGCTGACATTTCAGAGGTATTGTCTTTGCATTGTCACTACCACAACTAACTATCACTGTGTGGACCTAACATCCATACAGTGTTATTTCATGTTTATGTTTAGTTATTTATGTTATTTCATATTTATTATATTGTCTTATGCATACATAATGTTGTTATACATGTGCATAGAGCTATTTATATATGTATTTTGCACACTCCTGGGAGCGACACGAAAAATTGCAGACTTTGCTTTCTCACGGGTCCATTTTGCCTAACTCCAGCGAGATTTAAAAGAATACTGTACAGTACACAGTATTTATTAAATTAATGTTTTTGTCCTATCCATTAAACAAAATTCTGTTGGCTGAGGCTCCATTAAAAGAGGTATGATAGTAGTACAGTATATAGTAATCTCTTCATTACCCAGAATCTTCAATCCTAGAAATCTCCAAAAGCCAATTTTTTTGTTGTTTTTTTGAGCATTGAGAAATTCCTGGAAAATTTCTCCATTTTGGGTTTTCAAATGAATTTGCGAGAATTGCATTATGTGCATTTCCACAAAATCTCTCTTCCTGGCATGGGAACGATTTTCCGAGAGATCGCATCATGTTTTCGATGCAGGGACACATGGATGGGTAGGCTTAGAGTGCTCATGAGCTACAATTGGTCATTTATGTCATCTGACTGCATGGGATGCCTATGATTGAGCTGATGTATCTTGCAGCCTATCTCCTTAAACTCTTGCATTATGACTCTTAGCTCATTGTCTACTGCCATTGTACAAGCTTGTTTGCTCACTCACGGCTAGTTTTTTTTGCATACGTTCTGTGTTGTGTTGTCCAGTACCATACCAGCATATAAAATCACCCAAAAATACCATTAACACAGTATTAAGATGCAAAGAGATTACAGTTATGTATATTCAACTGTACATTTTTTTTCTAAAGTAGCCTCCACCTTCCCCTTACAGCCACACCTTCGCTACCATTTCATTACATTAATATTAAATACCCTAATACAAAAGGAGCTATCCTAGCCGAGCTAGTGAAGCCGCAGATGTATGCGGCTTTCAGTAACTGTTACCTCAAAGTCAATATATGCGACTGTTGTTGGCTTTGTTGATGATCTCGTTCCCAAGACAAAACAATGCAGACCTAAGTTTGTAGTTCGTGTGAAATCACCACATGTAAAGTACTGTATATAGCAGAGGACAGTGTATGCAGCATTGCTAGTGTGTAGAGGGTGCATGTAGAGTACTGTACTCTATCCAGTGGATGTACAATCCCTGCTTCATGGAGAGAGAGGAGAGTGACAGCAACACCTGCTCAAGACGACAGCATTTGCTGGTGAGTACAGTACAAGGTATAGTGTATAGAGTAGGATATTTTGTTTACAGTATTTACAATACATTTCACATGTAGTGGTGTTTGCATAAATAAATACAGCCCTGAATCTGTCTGTGAGAGATGCGTAGTTTAGACTCTCGGAAAGCTTTCCCTAGTATAGTGCTGTACTGTACTTGTAAAAATTCCGGGGATATATGAATTTCTCAATCCTGGAACTGCTCTGTACCAATTATTCCTGTCTACGAAAGGTATTTACTGTATTCCCAAGTAACCTTTCAGATACCCAATACAGTACCCAAATTTCATAAATTGGGAAGGCTTTCCCCAATGATTTAAAGGGAAAATTAGCGATACATTCAGGGCAGTCTTCTCAACACTCTTCGCAACCTAATATTATGTATACGTACTGTATTCTATTTTAAAGAAATGCAGTAAAAATAAAGATAAAAAGATATAATGTAAATGACACAAAAATTAAAATACTGAACAGGTATTCCACGATTTACAAAGTTTCAGTTTATATATACACAGGTTAAATTAATTGACCATTCTATGGGTTAAAAATGGGCAATGTCAATGTGGATGAATCTACTGCAATCTAGTGATGAAAGTCTTACCAATGATGAGCTGCAGCAATTAACACAGCAACATATCTAGAGTGGGGGACAACTATGATACAGAAGAACCAGAGAGAAACTTCACCACACCATTCCTCAGTTGGCCCATACCAACTCCCTCCCCTGAACCCCTCTTCCCCACCGGAATATCAACACGTTCTCGCCAGAAGTTACAATTTCATTTAGGAGAGGAATGGAACCAGTGTTGAACAGAGGTGAACAGTGCTTAAGTCAGTGAGAACAACTCAACAGTAACAGCCGAGTTGTACCCAAGTTAAACTTCACACAGTGAGGTCCCAAGTACCCAGTGATAACTGCCCGCGAGACCCAGCAATGTGTTAATCCGTCTACGATAGGAAGGCCTGGGACCACACCTCAGTCATATAACACCATCTGTGAGGGAATTACTACACCACGTGAGGTCCCTCATAACACCATCTTTGAGGGAATTGCTACACCATGTGAGGCCCCTCATAACACCATCTGTGAGGGAGTTATTACACCACGTGAGGCCCCTCATAACACCATCTTTGAGGGAATTACTACACCACGTGAGGCCCCTCATAACACCATCTGTGAAGGCATTACTACACCACATCAGGCCCCTCATAACACCATCTGTGAGGGAATTACTACACCACGTGAGGCCCCTCATAACACCATCTGTGAAGGCATAACTACACCACATCAGGCCCCTCATAACACCATCTGTTAGGGAATTACTACACCATGTTATGCCCCTCATAACACCATCTGTGAGGGAATTACTACACCACGTGAGGTTCCTCAAAACACCATCTGTGAGGGAATTACTACACCACGTCAGGTCCCTCATAACACAATCTGTGAGGGAACTACTACACCACGTGAGGTCACTCCTAACACCATCTGGGAGGGAGTTACTACACTATGTGTTTGCTGTTCAACACCTACATTAATCTGTATGTACTATGTTCACTGTATGTTCCTTTACCTTTCTCTAATGAAGACTTTTGTTAAACCACCCATGTATATAATAAGTCATTTATGTCCAATGTATATTTTCAGCCTTCGGGCTGCAGAACCTTTTCAATAAACCATTAATTATTATTATTATATCATGGACCAGTTTGCCGAGAATGACCCAGACTGGGAGTGCAGCAGCAAGGCAAAGAAAGGTACTCTAGATATGATTTCCTGCTACAGAGAATTGCTCTGTGATAAAAACTCAAGAAAAGGCAATCAATCCTGGATGCCTTCTTCAAGAAACAGCCACAGCCTGGCTCCTCATCCGAGGAGTAGCTGCTCCTGTCCCACATTGTCGCCCACTGTTCTTGTGATGTGTTACTAGTTTAGTGCTTTGTTGATAAGTACCCATGACTACAGTTGATTAATATATTATTTTTTTAATTCTATATTAAGTGCAGGACTTATTGTATGACATAATATTGTGTGTGGTGGTGGGTTGACGATCAGCAGTTGAGGAGCACTTGGCAACACCTGGTGTATGTTACCACTCCACTTCTATAATCATCTCCACCTTTCTGCTTTCTCACTCCATATTTTAAAATGTTATGTAATGTAATGTTGAAGGGATACAGCTTTGCTCATTTATACTTACTCAATTTTCCAGGTAGGTATCAGCTGTTCAATAGCATCTGGCAGTGCTGCAGGCACGGTTACAAAAAAAAAAGAAAAAAGATAAATGCATCACCACCACCTCCGTCATCACCACTACCTCTAATATCACCACCTAAATTATAATTTCAGTGATGCAGAGAGGAATTAGCTTCAGCCAGAGTAGAGGCATACGATATCCACTGCCTCCCTCCCTCCCACCCACCCAGTGCATCTCACTGACATGCTGCCTCTCTCACTCATTCTACTACAATCGTCACTTCACTACTATTCATCAAATGATAGCCATTCATTAAAAACTATTGTTTATTTGTTATTCATTAATTCGTAAATATATATTACTGTAATAATCTGTGTTTACTTTACCTGTACCCTTCACATACAATACTGTATATATCACAAGAGGTAAAAAATAACGTCATCAGGAATGCATCTCCATATATGCAATAGATCAATGACCCAGTAGAGAGCCGTTTTGGATAGCGCTCTATTTTCAGGACCATATCCTAAGCACTAACTAGGGTATTCTTATCAAGCAGATAAATTTACCATAACAGTTGTGTGTGTAGACCTTTTGACCTGGCTTCCACCACGGGTCAGCAGGTAGGTTGACTGTTATACAACCCAACTGAAGACTCGTCGGAGATGCCAAGCCTCAATATATGGTGAGTTTCTTCAATGGATCATTTTTTTCTTGCAGTAGTTTCAGTGTGCCAAAATATATCTTCTATGTTGTGCAGGTAATCACCCAACCTTTCAATATTTTAGCTTTGGTTTTCAGAAAATACAAGTCAATTCATACTTCTGAACGCCCTGATAATAACCAAATTAATAATACAATATATTTTACAAAAATTCTGATTCTGACGTCTTCTTACCTTTGTGTGTTTTCTATCTGTTGCATACACAATTGATGTACAACAAACTTCAGCTAACTTTTTCCCGTGTCCATAAAAGGCCCAAAGGCAGATCTCATTTGAACCAATTACATCCTTTATGAACAATACTCGTCGACTGAAACGTAGGGAGAGACGATCAAAAAGTTCAATGTTCTTCAACAAGTTATCATCAGATGTGCTGGAAATAAATAAACATGGCATAAAAAAATTGCTTACAAAATATTAGTATTTTTTTACATAGAATTATTAATATTCTTCTTCAGATACAGAATATTTTTATATTGTTGAACATGATGAAACATCAATGACTGATGATAAACATAATGATGGTTTGCATATAACAGACCTGTGGATGTAGAGAAAGGGGTGATGACAGTCTGTTACAATGTAAACAATTCCTGCTTATAATGTAAAATTTGTGGACTTAAGGAACGTTTGTCAAGAAGAAATGGAGGGACAATTTCTTGCCAGAAGTAGAGGGTCAAAAGATTTTACTCTACAGAAGAGTCAGAGATTTAACACTTGTTTGCAATATAAGAAGATCAAGAGCAAAAGGATTAAGACTATGCAACAAAGAGGAAAGAAGGGGGCAAAAAAGTGGTTAATTACACAGTAAGAGAATAGAGTATTCATAATAAGGAAAGCAGACCAAGGGACTTAAAATGGCAGAAGGTAAGTGGAATGCACAAAGAACAGATACTTCATCATTCTTACCTTGTGTATGAATATTTGTTGTTATGCCGGTTAACAAGAAGTTTCACGACAGGTTTACTGGTAGATTGTATTAGCATCTGTTCTTCTTTCTGTGATGTAATAAGAGGTACACGACATACTGGATCTTTCTCTGGTTCTCGTTGCTTAATTGCCCCTTCACATACCTCCACTAAGTCACTCATACAGTAGTACCTTGCTTCTGCCAGTAATTCCTGTTGACATTTTAGAAAACATAAGAATGACATTCTCTAACCTTCTTAGCAAACATATTAATGATACTGTATTACATACTCATAAATACAGAATGCCTGAATACACATGCAGAATTACAACCACTACCACAATTTCAGTTGCATCGTAACCAGTGATGTTTATCTGAGGTGTGTTAGTGCATAAAGCTTGATTATCTGCTGATGAAGACCTACCCTTATTCTTAAGAGGTAAGGTAGCTCATCCCCACCTTCTCGTGGTGTGCACCATTAGTACACTTTGTGTCTGTTCAAGTAGAATCAACGGGGATGGTGCTGCTTAACATCCAGCAGTTTTTTTCTCTGATCTGTCACTTTCAACTATTTTTTATGACTGGTGTTGTATTTTAGCGCTGCTTGGGGTTTCCCAGTTTATTAGCAACTCCTTGTTTTCTTTTGTGCTTCCACAATGTCAAAAAAAAAAGAAGAAATGCCCTGGATGCATGAAGACAATGACCAAGACAGCTCAGGCTCTGAAGTGTTGGTATGGCAGTGCCTGGTACCACATTGCTTGTGATAACCTCGATGAGGAAGGTTACAACTTCATGACCAAGATGGTTCTGTGCGGGTTGTGAAGACAAAGTAAATGACATCCTGAGCACAGCCAAATCAATTTTGAAAGCTAAAATAGCTAAAGAGATAGTATGACAGGTGTTCTGGAAAATTTTGAGCAGGGTGTGACTGGGAGGTTGAAAGCACTGGAGAACAGGATTGATTCTTTGGAGTGGCCTCTCACGAGTCTCCTCAATCATTTGCGAATATCATTGAAGAGGAACTGAAGGAATTTATAAAAGATCAGGTGGTACAAAAGGAATGAGTGTGAAGATCAACTATATGGGCAGGGATAGGACAGTTCACACCCAGCAGGTACTCATACTAAAACCAAAGGAGGGTAGTGTGGCTGCTGGAAGTGTTGAGAGAGCACTAAGGTCTATTCCTGTTGAAAGTTGCAGGAAGACAAGAACTGGCCCCCTTGTTATTAGACTTCCTACTGAGAAGGCAAAAGAAGGAGGCTAGTGGGGCAATGAGTTCCTACTTTGGTACACACTCAGACTTCATGGAGTCCGCATCTAGAAAGATCATGCCAAAAATGACAATTGGAGGTATTCCTATTATATTTTCTGATGACAAAATGGTTTCAGGCATTGCTGAGAATAATGAAAATCAAGAACTGTTAATAAAAGTTCCAAGTTATCTCTTATTTTTGCAAATATAAAAGGAGGAAGTAAATTGGCAGTCATGAAGATGTCACCTGAAGTATGAAATGAACAAGTTAACGGTTCTGGGTAACCACAAGTAATACACTCTGTCACGTTCGTAGAGTGATACGGTATACGTACAGTATATAATTTGTACTAAAAGTTTAAAGTCTTGCTATAATAGTAGTGATAAGTTTAGTTCTCTAGAAACAGGGCCACCATTTGCAATGACATCACTAGTTTCAAACTCATCGCTGCAGTCGGAGGTAGTAGAAAGAATGGCCTCTTCAGACCCCAAATGTCACATTCAGGTAAGTTTTAAGGTTTTTTTTTATGGTCTAAGTCATGGACATTTCATTAGTGAAGAAATGTGCAGTGAAGAGCAGCTTCAAACATAGGTTGGATGGATATATGAGCAATAGGGTTGGGTGTAAATGGAAATGCCCAGTATGGGCCAATAGGCCTACTGCAGTTTCCTTAATTCGTATGTTCTTTTGGAAATAAAAAACTCCCATGTTCACACCAGCTCAGCTGTCATGTACTCTTACCTGGTAGACTTTTTTTTTCAGTGCATATACAGAGTATATCAGTACTAGATGGAGACATGAGTAAATTTAGAAGTAATGACATTGTCTGGACTTTGTTTTGATAATGCCTGGTGCTAGGTAACACAACAACATAGTGCTGTTATTGTTTTGATGATTCACTAATGAACCACTGGGATATATCATCATTTACATTCATTAATGGGTAAAATTAGTTTATGTGCTTAGTAATATTTAAATATTCAAAATAGTATTACTGTGTTGCACAGTAAAGCACAATTAACTATCTAATGATATTTATTTACAGAGCCAATCAGCTGTGAAGGTTGGACAACTACATCTGGCAGCCTCCTGCTGGGAAGCTCACCCCAACCAGTGACGTCACAACCAATCACAGAGCTTTTCGCAGTCAGGTGACCTTTTAGCAACTTTAACCCTTATTTTTGACACTTTCTGCCCAAATTTATATAAAAATATCATTAACATAGTGAATATAAGTGTTTTCTTTACCCATTGACATGCCATCTTACAAAAAAATTCCGACTGCCAACTCGTCCATTCCACAGAAAAATATCAAGGATATGTTTATGTTGGACTGAACGGATGCAAAACTTAAGACACGTTTTGGGACACTCCATGTTACCACTGCGAAAAATTTGGACACCTTGCTTCAAGTTGTCTCAGGAAACCTGGTTCTCCAGTTTGTGCCTTCTGTGCAGGCAGTCATGAGTCTAGGTCTCTAGGACTTGCTCAAATAAGACCTCACCCTAACGTGCAAATTGTTCCGCTCTAGCAGTACCACCCAAGCCAGCCAGTCATTTGGCATTGGGTTGACTATTGTAACTCTTTATGAGTCTGCCTACCTAATTATCTACTGAAGAAAGTTCAGTGCTGAACGGGATTGCCAGACTTATTTTTTGCTCTCCCACTGAGGACTCCCAGTAACCTATTTTTGATTGAATTACATTGGCTTCCAATTAAAGCTAGGAGAGAGTTCCATCTCTGTCTAACAACTTTTAAGACACTAATGTTTGGTGAGCCTAAGTATTTGGCCAACTTACTAATTCAACTGACTACACATTCTGAAATTACTTTACGTAGTATTGATAATCCTTCACACATTGAGGAGCCTAGAGCAGTACGGAAATGTTCTTTTGCTGCCCGATCCTTTTCTTACACAGCACCCAGATTGTACAATCGGTTGCCTGCATCATGAAGCAACTGACTTCTGTGGAGGTCTTTAAGAAACAACTTAAAGAAAAAAAATTTTAAGCCTATGATCCTTCACAGGTTAAGGTGAAGGAGAATTACAGGGATTAGGAAGTATTAAAACATATGAGTATATGAATGATAGAAGCCAAACTGTCACTTTTGTGATCTTTTATTGTAGTATAGTATTTCTTTTTATTTTCAACTCTTTGATTTTGTAGTGTTTTGAGCGCTTGTGAATTCTTTTGAATTGATGCTTTTGTGAAACAAGACCAGCTACTAAAATTATTAATGTTAAGTTTTTAAAGATTAAGTTTTGTAACTCAAAAAATCTACAAATATCCCCCAAAATGTTTTTCAAGGCAGCTAAACATTCGCATCTAGCATGAAAAACCGAATTTACATATACTGTACTTACATCTTAGAAATGAGTAATTCATGTGGCATGGCATCCAAGACAATCAGTGGTAGTGCATGAGTATGAATGCACAGATGGATTGCAAACAACGACAAGATAAGGAGATGCAAAGGCAGTTTATTTGTTGATAATCCCATGGTGAAGAATGTGTAGTGGTCAAATTGTCTAGAGGTGTGGAGTCAAGTAACATTGCCCTGAGGGATTGTTAGGCCACTATAAATGAGGTGTGCAGATGTGCTCTAAGGAGACTGGAGGTAGCCCGAGTGTTGGTCTGAGGTAATCATCAAGAACAATTTGGTTCATGCAGCTGTGCTATGATGGTGAACCAGCCAGTGGTGTGGGAGTATTACTGGCATTTTACTGGTGATAAGCAAGATTGTTGGTGTGTGCAAGTACTGTTGGTGAAGGTGTGTTGTTGGTTGGAGAGTATTGATGGTCGTTAAGGAGCTGGTTCTCGTGGTTTAGAAGAATGTTAGTGGTGTTGGCTGGGTGATGTTTTGGTGGTGATGAGTGGGGAGAATGTTAGTGTGAGTGGTGATAGTGACTATTGTTGGTGAAAGGAAATAGTGAAGGACACACTGGATACAAGACCGAGGGAAAACCAGGAGGCAGCAGAGTATACTTGAAAGGTTGAAGGTGTCATGTGGCATTTGGATATGATATAGCAGTATGAGTAAATGGACAAGTTTATAAAATGAGAATATGTTTGATGATAGTTCTAGCCATGGTGCAATATATCACAAAGAGCCCTTAAAACAACAAGATATTTTAATGTAAAAATAATATGCCATAAAACAAATGATACACACCTGTAACTCTCTCTGGTTTTCTGGTATTGGGATCCATTCATCACGAAGATAATTGAGGATCGTGCCAAAGTGTTTCCCACATCGGTCAATTAATATCCAACCTGGGAAAAATATTCAAATAATAATTCAAGAAAGGGTCACACATGTTACAGTATGTGTACAACTTACTTAAGAAATAATATTTAATTATTCTCCTAACCTCTTCACTGTGGGAATGCTACTTTTAATGTTACGGTATTTGGCTAACGACCAGATTTTATTCCGCAATGTGGACCCCATAGACAAGTGGTTAAGCCCTATGAAAGACCACAATTGCATTACAAAATTGCAATATGATACATGGTTAAAACAAAAAGGACTGATGTATGTAATACTGAACTGCACCATTTTACGGCTTTAGAAAAAAGAGACACGACATACAAAATCACAAGCCAAAAGACACCTGGCAGTCTGCCTTGTTTAGAATTTCAAACTACATGCATTCTCAGGCAGGGACACTGCCCATTTGATTTAGTACAAAGGCTACATGAAAACCTACTTGCCCAAATGAATTAGGTTCCATAAGCAAGCTTCAAGCTTTCTGGTGATTCTTTAATGAGCCAGCAAGTCAATAGGTACTCTGGGTTGAATCATAAAATAGTTTGCCTGACTAGAACCTCAAGACAACATTACACAACATAATCCTTATACTGTACTGTATATTCACACATTCCCTGCTTATTTTACATTCAATACCCCAGTACATTTAAAATCATTATTATGAAATGTAATGTTACTTGTGGCTAATAGGTCATAATTAAAACCAGAAAACAGAACAGGGGGTCCCCGAGTTACGAACAAACACCCGCCGACACGCGTGTGATCAAGTGCAAACTGTTGTTTTTGGCTTATTAACTATTTTTATGCCCTCATCATGGCTCCCAAATGCAAGCCTGATGCATGTGATAGTAGTGCATCCAAGAAAAGGAAAACAATTACAATGGAAGTGAAAGTTGATGAAATTAAACAATCTGAAAAAGGCAAAACACCCTGAGCGATCGGTAAAATGTTGGGCTCCATTCAGTCAACGATGAGAACAATTCTTAAACATGTAAAAGAATCTACACCAATGCACTCAACTGTGATAACAAAACAAAGAAGTGGATTGTTAATTGAAATGGAAAAATTGTTAATGTTTTGGTTGAAGATCAGCCAGCCCCAAGGATTCAATGTACAGGGTAAGTGTTAAACTTTAATTTTTACTTTCCCTTGTATTTTATCATTCAATTTATTCTTTTCTCTTTAAGTGATTCGAGATGTATAAAAGGACTTAGGCAATGATATAGTGCACATAGGGTATGCGTTCCAACTTAAGGTCCTCATGAATGGAACTCATTTGTAACCCGGAGACCCCTTGTACTATATATACTGTACAGTACAGTATATGGAAATCCTTACCTTCTGAGTCTGTGAGCACTTCCATCCGCCCAGAAAACATTGCTCTTAACATGTTGTCATGTTTGGTGAGTGTGCCAATTGTTGTGTAATGCAGAGAACCACCAACATTTAACTTCACATACTGCGATGGACTTCCTTTAATAACCTGTAAATGGTTACAATATAATTATGTAACAAAATTTTTTTTAAGTTTAAAAATATTAACCCTCTCAGCCTTGCACAACGCCATTGTGGCATCGAACATAAAAGGCGAAAAACCTTACACTCAGCCTCGCGACACCACGTTGGGCTATACTGTATTTTCAAATAACTCAAAAAATATTCAGTGAAACCGACTGAACTTTGGACGCCATTTGACAGATGTCGTTTTCTTTGTGTGGGCCTTATTACCTTACCCGAGATGGTCATCGTGTGCATGGCAGCGCAGCATGAAGCCAGTGTCGCTCTGGCCATTAGAGCGAGAGGAGGGTGTACCGCTCGGTCCTTTAATTATTCCACGAGTTTTTGTGTTATATTATTTTTCATTCTACCACGATATTCTACATGCTTTGTTCTTTATTTTGGTATATACAGTAGTACATATCAATGAACACCATAATACAGTACAAGGAAAATGTGAATGGAAATCGAGATGTTACTAAGCATTTTCCTACCTTTTCAACTTACACTACTAAAAAGTGGCTTAAATTTAAAAATTAAAATTTTTTTTTATGGCTTCATACAAATTTTCACACAATTTTATGCTAGAAGAGACCCCATTACAATTAATGAAAATTCCATGGTAGTGAAATGAGCCCTAAATTTTTTTCAACAATTCTTCGGCAACAACCTCCGAGGCTGAGCGTAAGTTTTCATGCACGTATGTGTCTCAGGCTCCGAGGCTGAGAGGGTTAAGAGAGTGTATATACTGTATACACAGTACACTTATCTGTTGAGGCTCTGTTAAGTGTGGTGCATAGAGTGAAGCAACTGAGGCTGAATCATGTTTACAGGATTTTCAATAGACTGTGCCCAGAGTATGTGACAACTTAGTTTGTAAGGATTATGGATATGCACTAGAGGGAATGAACATAATTTTATGGTACCTGGTGTCTGCAGTCAGGTGAAAAACACTTTCTTCTTTACTGCTATAACCGACTGGAACAAGTTACCAGACCACATCAAAACCAGTTATGGCATTAAGCAATTCAAAGCTAAAACAAATAAATATATAATAGAAGAAGCTATAGCAAGAGAAGAGAGTGAGCTTCTATATTATTAAACCACAGAATGCAGTAGTGTAAACCTAAGTAAAGGACCCTCCTGGAAATAAGCACCAGACAGCTTTGTTGGCTATCCTTGGTCAAATTGCCATACTATTTACCATTGTTGTTTACTCGCACTGTCTCAACACACAGGAAACTGTACTCCAATGGCCTATGTGCACCACATACCCACATTGTCTATATTTATGTTAAACTATATAAATGCATAGTTTATAAACATCCTCATTTAAACCGTTATGGCAACTTTACTGAATAAATATTATTATTACAGTGAAACCTCTATTTAATGGATTACAGTATATGGAGAGGAAAGTGTTATGTCGAGGGTCTGTTAGATGTGAAACCTCCATCTAACGAACTATATTGTATATCGAGGGTCCGTTAGACGTGAAACCCCCAACTCAAGAATTATATGGAGGGAGAAGTCCGTTATATGGAGGTTTCACTGTATTGTTAACTCAGATGGTACAGCTCTGTCATTAAGAGCAAATGATCAAGGGTACAATTTCCACCCAAGTTAAGGACTGATTGCCCTTTTAGTAAACTTGTAGTGTGTACACTATTAGATGTGATTGTCAATAATGGAACAACCCTTCAGAGGACAAGCATACTGACCGTGGAACTTGCTAGATGCTGAATACAGAGCATCAGGGGTGCAGCACTGTTCAACTACAGTATGCAGCAACATTGCAGTAAGAGGCAATAAATAGCAATAAAAAATAATCATAATGAAATCAATTCCATGTCATACAGTCCCTCACTTCACAAGGTAATAAAAATTATAAAAACATGCTTGCATATACGCACAAATAATGAACAATGTTTCTTTACCTTTTTATGATCTCCTGACATGTCTGAGGTGGGTGAGGGTGGCGCCACCACCACCGTCCGTGTCGACTCCAGGGTCACGTCCCGTGTCACGTCCTGCACCCCCGCCACCACAACACCACAGCTGTTACTTACACACCTAGAATAGTTTTTATAACTTAGCAATTTATTATTTTTCACAACTTTTTTCAATGTACTGTAAAGTACTGAGTTTCATGCAAAAGTATCAATACATTATTGATTAATCCTGTAGTTACTTAAGTTTAGTTAAAAATAGTTCCCCCTAAATAAGGAAACATTTATAAATTTGATGGATAGTTAAAAAAAAATGCATTTACTCTCATACAAAAACTCTAATTCAAGGAGTTACCTGTACAGGTACTGTGTTTAAAGGAAAGGATACTTCTGTTTGATCAGTGTAAATTGATACAAAACAAGCATTTGGGTGCATTCACTCCAAGGCCGAAACGGACATAATCTGACACAAATTGTCCAAACGAGTAAGTCGAGTTAATAACATATATTGTATCTCACACTATATTCAAATCACAACTAATTCACCTTTCAAACTTCATCCTAAAGGGAAGACAGTTTCCCTCTCCCTAGAAAAACAACAAGTGAAGTAACAGTTATTAGCTATGCTGAAAATATCATAATACCCACCGAGGCACTACATATAATGTCTCTGTACATTTTGCGTCAGAATATGTCTGGTTCCGGACTTGGTGTGAACGCACCCTCAGCCTGAGAATGCTTGTGGACCCCTTAGTATAAGTGATAATGTCACACCAAATCGGTGACAATTATCATCACACAAATGAATAAATATTTAGACTTCTGCCTGAAACCTTTAACCAGAACATACATAAGTAACTAAAGTTCAAACAGCTACCCATCATATCAAAGTCGGGTTAGTGAGACGGAACCTTAGCTTTAATCCAATGATTAGTTTGAAGACCAGTGATTCAATAGTCATGTTTCACAAATGCCGACACATGCATTCCTAAGTATCATGGCATTAGCAAAATCAGCATTTATGAACTACAGTACAGTATTATTTCAATTGAAAATAAGATACTCACAGATGATCTTCTGGAAGAGGCTCACGCCTGTGACTCCAGCTTAATAGCCTCTTCTCTACTCAGACGGTGGCTGTGTGTGGCGGATATTTGTGCCCTATAATTATATACTTGTTGTTGATTTTTCCAGTATTTATCTAATTTTGCTTCAAACTTTTCCACCGTCTCCACATTCACTACCCACTCAGGTAACCCAATCCAGTTGTTGACAACCCTACTCGTGAACGAGTGTCTTCTGAGATTTAGCCTCGCTCTTGTTTTGTAGATCTTCTTTGAGTTCCCCAGGGTAGTGTCAGCCTCCCTCATCTGGAACATTCCTGCTGTACATGCCTGGTCATATATGACACACACTATCTTGTACGTTTCCACTTGGTCCCCACGAGATCTTCTGTACGCCAGTGTCGGTAACTGTAATTTCCTTAGTCTTTCCTCATAAGATGAATCCTTGATCTGTGGTACTAATTTGGTAGCCCTCCTCTGTACATTCTCTACTGCTTCAATATCCTTAATGAGATATGGGCACCAAATTTGATTAGCATACTCAAGGTGTGGCCTAACCAGAGCAGTGTACAGAGCCTTGAATATAGGTGCATCCATATGAACAAAAGTTCTTCTAATAATGCCCACTATTTTATTAGCCCTGTTGATTTTCTCAGCTAGATGGTCAGAAAACGTCAGCTTATCATCGATGACTACCCCTATATCCTTCTCTACAGTGGTCTTCTTGATCGTGGTGTACATATGATATCCATGGTCAGCAACTTTTGTTCTTCCTATCCTCATGTATTTACTTTTTTCTGGGTGAAAGTTCAGCATCCACCTCTCAGTCCAACCCCTGATCCCATCCAGGTCCTCCTGCAGCATGTCACAATCCTCATCTTGTTCATTTTCCTAAAAATCTTTGTGTCATCCGCATATACATATACCTCACTGTCGTGTTTAATTGCCTCAGGCAGGTCATTGATAAAAAAGACAAACAGCAGGGGGCCGAGGACAGAACCCTGAGGGACCCCACTAGTGACCTCTCTCCAGTCAGATACTTCTCCATTTACCACAACCCTCTGTTTTCTCTTAGTTAAAAAATTCCTTACCCAATCAAGATATTTTCCATCACTGCGATAACTAGATACTTTTTCCAATAGTCTTTTGTGGGGTACTCTATCAAAAGCCTTCATGAAGTCACAATACACTATGTCCACAGCCTGACTGTCATCGATAATTTCCGTCCACCTGTCTAGTACCCTAATCAACTGTAGGACTGTTGACCTGCCGGAAATGAAGCCAAACTGTTTATTACTAAGCAATCCATATTTTTTCATATGGGATATCATCTCTTCCCGAAATATTGACTCCATTAATTTGCAGATTACACTAGTTAGACTGACTGGCCTGTAGTTTCCTGGTTCATTTTTACTTCCCTTCTTATAGATAGCTGTGATATATGCAATACGCCAGTCCTCGGGTATATTTCCTTCTTGAAAAGTGCTTTCAAACAAGATCCTCAGAGGCTGAAGTAGTTCCTCCATCATCGCCTTAATGACTCTTGGATGTAACCCATCTGGACCGGGAGACTTATGTCTTTTCAATTTTTGAATCACCTTTCTTATTTTGCCCTCGGTTATCTCCAGGTGTTCAAGAGCTGGCACGTCTTTCTTGTTGGCTGTTGGTATCCCCCTATCTGGTTCCTTGATAAGAACTCGTGAGAATTGCTCTGAGAGTACATCTGCCTTTTCTTGATCATTCACAGTCTTCTGTACTTTTTCCTCATCCTTGTAAAGATCTGCAATTCTAGCTTTTGTTCTTGTTTTTGTCTGTACATACTTCCAGAACACTTTTGGATTTGCCTTAACATTTTTCGCAATCTGGTGTTCTTTGCGTTCCAAGATGATTCTAGTTTCCCATCTGACCTGGTTATTTAATCTCCTGTATTCCTTTTCAGTTTCCAGATACATCTCCCTTGTGCATGCTCATATCAAAGATTAGGTTAGGCTTAATTTGGTTAGGTCTGGTTTGGATAGGGTTTCATATAAAAACATGTCAAAAAAAGCCTTTGTACAGTATAGACATCTCTCAATTTACACGATAGTTACGTTCTTGCGAATGGCCGTGTAAATCGAAAACGTGTAAATCAAACTTGATTATCCCATAATAAATATTGGAAATGCTCCCTAAAAACTGTAACTTCAATATGTTTTATTTACAATAATATAAAAATAATAATAATAATAATACAATAATATAAAATTTGTGCCAACATTTACAATGAATGATGGTTGGGATGGCGTGCGGGAGCAGGTGGTGGTGGTGGAGGAGAGGTGGGGGTTACCGGAGAAGGGAGTCATCTGAATCAGATGACAGAGTAGTTGATGGGGGGAGAAGTGGGAGTTTTCAGGATAGATGTCGATGGCTGAGGTTCAGGTGATGTTACTTTTTCCTTTTTCGTAAAGTACGGAAGCAATTGGTTGTTCAAAGTGGGCAGTAGAGGGAAAATGTGGGGTAAAATACTAAAAAGAACACCAAACAAGCCTTTGAAAACCTTACCTAACTTGGAATAAGGTTACGAATGCGGTAATGTCTGAGAACACCACAACCACTAGAAGGGGTTGTTCGATTTGTTAATTTTTTCCACAGATGTTCTATCAATATAAAAAGAGGCGACATTTACTAGAACCTAATAGAACGTGACCTAACCTACCAAAGAAACCTACCTAACTTCCTAGCCGGGGTGTTAAAATAGCATTAGTAGGAACTTAGCCGGTCAAGGCAAAATATCCACTGTGAAAAGAATGTGAGAATTTATTTTTGGTGCAAATGAATATTTATGGAGATATGACCCATTGCCACTAGCAACAACAATGAACACACAAAGAGGCTAAGTTGTACTTAAGAAATTAATAAGTGTGTAGCATAAAGGTCAACAAAATTTAAATTTGAGGATTGTACTCACACATCTTTTCTGTACGAATCCCAAAGCTTACCGTTCAGCTTTTCCCTTAAGCAATGAAATATTTTTCCTTAAATACAATTTCCTTAAAAAAATGCATTAACCTGCAAACCCAAGCTTTAGTATAACCAAAAATCATTTGCTATTACAGTCACCATCGTATAAATAAAAAAATAAATCAGTAATGAAAATTAACAACTAAACCTTGCAGCATTTCCAATCCAATAACAATACTGCATCAGCCACGGCCAGCTTCGAGTCAATTATTTCTTTCATTCATCAAAATTATCCTAGTTAATGTTTATCAGCTCCAAACCTAACCAGTTGACAACGTTTGGTGCATATTCACTTCCCATATACGTCTAGAGCCACGAACAATATAACCATGTAATTCAACAAGCAACATACCGCCAAGACAGCGCCAGAAGTGAGCTGCCATCTTAACACTTACTCTTAGATAACATCACTTCAATCGACTCACTAACACAACCTTATTGTGGGCGCTGCTCTCTTCTTTCTAATAGAACTTTACATTGAAATCTACAGTGAAACTTGCCCGAAAATATTTGCAGCAATTGCGCAGGAACGGTGTGACAGATAGCAGACACCTTTACTGCCCAGCGACCATCTTGCTGTTACCCTCTCTAGCTCACTATTATCTATAATATTTCAAAAATATTCATATATCTCTCGGTATCTCATTTATAAACACTCTATCATAACTATTATATAATAATTTGTACCACAGTTTAAATTTCTATCATTATAATCTCAGTTTACGAATGAATAGTAAATAATGAGACTGTTGTTACAAACATCACAATCTGGATTTAGAGAACCTGCATGCTTCCTCCCTGAATGATGACACTCCCCTAATATTAGACATATCAACTATTCATGTACAGGCATCTCTTCAGTTCTCTTTGTTGAAGAATTTTAGTGCTGCAGATAAAATTGTTGAAACTTTTAGTCTGGCAACAATTAGAATGCAACAGGTCGATTTCATCTGACCGTTAACAGGAAAGCAATTACCGTACTGTGTGCATATTCTGGAAATCAGTAAATGACAAGGGGATCGATAATATCTCTCTAAATTTGGGGGAAGGAAATATTTTCCGTAAAAATATTTGGTGATTGGTGGAATGGCTGATAACTTATTATCAATTAGTAGATAACTAATCCTATGCACTGGGCTCTTATAATGGATGGTTTTCATTTTATAATTTTTATTGTTGATAAACTAGCGTAATTACTAACGTTGCGCGCTTAAAGACATTTGCTGTTGAAGTGCATTATATGACATTTTAACGTTAACGTCAGTTGTGCTCTTAAGGGATTTCCAGAATATTGGCGTGAGAGAAATAAATATTGCGTTGTCAGAGCTGCGAAGTTGCGAACTGCAGTACCTGTACCGTACAATATGATGTACTGTCCAGTAAAGCTTGGTTTGTTTTGAGAATACTGGCCACTTCGTCTTTCAGCTATTTCAACCGAAAATACTGTTTATAGTCCTTACTGTATGCAGTCCAGTACGTAGTAGTGTAGACTGTGCGTTGGTAGTGTTGTTAGTAGTCAAGGGCAACTTGCTTTATATGTAAGGGTTTTCTGGTTCTTGAACTAACGGTCTTGATCTTGGGTATATATTTTTCTATGAAATATTTAACCTTACCCTTGTTTTTAAACATTAATGTTTCCTTCTGAATCCTAGTATAATCAACATTGTAACTTTTGAACCATGGTCTGCTCTTATCGGCTAACAAGCCGATCAGTGGTGAAGAGGAAAAGAAAAAGAAAAGTAACAGAGATGTGACCAATCGCCCAAACGGCTAACAAGCCGATCAGTGGTGAAGAGGATAAAAGTAAAAGTAATTGAATAAGTATACCTCTCGTACGTCTATGGGAAAGGGTCGCGGAAAGGGGACGTGATTGCTGCCCGTATCATCATTGGGTATGACTTTGCTTGGGAGATTGGTATCCCCGCATCCCCTGAGCAACGCTCTTGTTCACTATGCAGAAGACCCGACAGCAGCACCCTTATCCACTACCACCTAAGATGTCCCCACACACAACGCTTCCGTGAAGCCTGCTGGACCACCACTCCACGACCCCCTGACGGAGACATGATGATCTTCCCCATACTGGCCAGATATTTTGTAAATAACATTGATTATGTGTTAAAGGAATATCCTTCCTTCCTTAGGCTTTAGTAAGTCCCTTTATAATATTTATACTGTATATACTTGTCACACTTGCCAGATGCTTCTGGTGTCATTGTACAGGGGTACCTAGTGACAGCACTAGGATCCCACTTCCTCTATCAAGGAATAAACAATTGAAATTCAAATTAAATTGAATTGAATAAGTTAGCAATTAATTCTGAAGGATAATTAGTAATAGTGGTGTGGTAGTGTTAGTAGTGGTGGTGTGGCAGTGTTAATAGTGGTGGTGTGGCAGTGTTAGTAGTTGTGGTGTGGCAGTGTTACTAGTGGTGGTGTGGCAGTGTTAGTAGTGATGTGGCTATATTAGTAGTAATGGTGTGATAGTATTAGTAGTAGTGGTGTGGCAGTGTTAGTAATAGTATTGTGATAATGTTCGTAGGAGTGGTAGTGTCCATGGCCCATGTGCCAGTGGTCCACACAAGGATAAATATAGATAAAACATACACAGTAACTTTTTACTTATTTTATATTATGAAAATAATCCTCGTTTTAGTGAAGATTTTTTAAGTCGCTCGTGTTTTTTGTGAATGTATAACGTATGTACTGTATGTATGGATGGATGTATACGGCCATCTGATCGAGTGCTTGATATTAACGGTTTATAATAATTACTGTGACGTTTTTGTAACGTTATTTAAGTTTTATATGAGTTTTTTGTCTGGGTCTGTGTTGCCACAATATTATCCATGCCAAGGTTTTGAAGGTTCAGCACTTTGTAGGATTTTTGTTTTTCGTTGTTTAACATTACATAAAATTATTATCTTCTAAGGCCAGTGCCTGATTAAGCTTCGGTGCCACGGACCCTATGGACTCCGTAGCATTCTTAGAATGACTCATTTAGTTCTATTAAATTTTTTAAAACTTGAATAATAAAAAAACAAAAACATGTAAAATATATATATATATATATATATATATATATATATATATATATATATATATATATATATATATATATATATATATATATATATATATATATATATATATATATATATATATATATATATATGGCTCGTTAGTTGCTTGGGCGATCGGTCACGTCTCTGTTAGGCACTGTTAACGAGTACTGGGCATGAACTGGCTCATGAATGTATCGGAGCCTGTTCCAGTGTTGGTCAAATCAACCTTGGATGAGCTCACACTCGGTACCGTCACAACATTCTGTCAGATTGTTTAAGATGCAGAAAGTGTGAGCATCGAATATATGGGAGGTCTATGCTGAAATACATATATTCATAAGTACACGTAAGATATAAACAGACATACTAAATAACAGTAAAACAATTGTTTTAATTCAACCATGGGAGTGGAAAACTCCCTTTAGTGTATTTCTAAGCAGATCACATTATACAAAACCCCTCTTAACAAATATATAGTCTCCAATATTATCTTTATCAATCTGATAGTCAAATAACTCATATCCTCTATCCTCAATACTTTTAATAAATTTTAAGTCTTTTCCTTTCACATCCCCGTGGTGCTCTACCAAGAGTACCGAGATATCAAGAGAGTCCCAGGGTACGGTGTCCAGGATCATCCTCTCTGCTCCCTCGACATCAAGTGAGAGGAGATCAACCTGTGAACAAGAGTAAAATGTTTATTTATCAGTCTTGTGGGGGTAACACTAATTTCTTGTGTCATAAAATGAAGTTTGTCCAGATATACTGTATGCAGATGATGCTGTTATAATATTTGAGTCAAACATTTTACTTTTTTAATCGCAAAGAAGAAAGTAGAGTATACGGATAAGACGGGTATACTAATCGTGGTTGTATTGTATTTAGATGACAGGGAAAGACTGATGAATGTTATGGTGAATGAAAGTAAGTAGGGTTTACTTTGCTGCTTCGTAATGGAATGTAAGGTTACGTGATGAAGCAAGAGGGTCGCTCAAAAGATTTTGGATCATAGTATTGATAATATAATTTTGCCAGTGCTTCTGACTGACGCACTGGCACAATGTTATCAATGGCAGTCAAGGTAAACTGATGCCGTCAGTACCTTAACTGCTTAAGTCATGTCTGTATTAGATCTGGTGATATAATAAAGCATTTAAATTAAAACACTATCCATATGAAAAATATGAAAATAAATGCTGACCTTGGTGACATTAAGTGCCCTGAGGTAGGTGATGAGAGGAAAGCACTGCACCACAGCGAATGTAGTCTCATAGCGATTTGCCTGGTATTGTTGATCCGCCCCTCCAGCCTCTGTTAAGAAGGAACTGCCCCTGATTACCCAGAGTGCCTGAGAGGTTTCTGTTTCCTCATGAGTGTCCAGCATCTCCAATACCATTTCCTGAGCAGTGTGAAATAATTCAATAAGATTATCAGTTTGCGTTTGACATAGTAATTGAAAGTTATGGAAGGAGACTAGTTCCTATGTTCTGGTGAGGACTCGTCCTAACATAAACCATCCCCAGGTATAAGTTTTATTACGCTGTTAGATTATAATGACACGAGCAACTTGCTGGCTCCTTAAGTCAATCATAGTTTATCTGAAATGCAATAAGAAGAAAGTTAGGAAATACCCTTGCAATGGACAATAAAGGTCGAAACCTGTTGTTTGACGCTATAGAGATAATTCTTGTGACATTGAAAGAAAATCTAGGTAAATCTGGAGGCCTCAAGGTGGCGAGGATAATGGAAACTCTAAAAATTATCTCGACAGGTACGCGACTTCGTTTCATTTGGAGGTTTACCTTGGGGTAGGGCGTTATGGCGAGGCAGGTGTTAGAGGACCAGGCCCGTCGGTTCTTCTTTAACAATTGTTTATAAGCACTTGGATTTGCCTCCACCAGTAGCCCTCGCCACCCGTACACCTGGGATGCCAACAGGTAAATATTAGAATATGAATGCAGCTATGGACTTTTAGTTGTTATATATTAAGAATTACACATATCTTGGTACGCCTGCTAGAAGGCATTAAACATAGATAACTTACATCAACTGGCATCTCTAAGTGAATACTGTCATGAATAAAGCAATTGATACCACCAAAGAAACACTAGGATATTTATACACTAAGGGATATTACGATGTAAATATAAGGATATGATATACCAAGGGGCACCAGGAGGTAAACACAAAACATCAAGGACTTACATACACAAAGGAACATCACCAGATAAATACAAGGGATTTCAATTACGGCGACATTGACTCGAGCAATGAAAGTACACCGAATGACTTACTTTATATTCACCCTGCAAGTCTGCAACTCTTTTGTAGAAACTCTAAGAGACAATTTCCTACTCCAACATGTTAAAGAAACCACACGTACAGAATTTTTGAGGGTTAACTTCTTTGGAGTAACTAAGAGTTGTGATATCCTGGAATGACCTGCCAGAGAGTATTGTGACGGAAGAGTTTGAGTTCATATAAGACCAGACTTGACCAACACTGATGCATGTTCAGGTGAGCCACGTTCTAGAGCCCATGCATGCTCAGTATTTGCTAACAGTGTGTAACACAGTAACACGGGGGCAGATCCAGGAATATCAAAGGGGGTCCAAGAAGTTGTGGGTGAGGGAACATGGCGAGTGCAGCAAAGCCACCCAGCATTTTGAGGCCATTTTGAAGCCATGGGCAATTGATATTAGCAGATATTTTGAAGTCAATAGTAAATACTTTTTACTTTACAAAAATGCCTGAGTACATTACTACATTAAAATAGTATTGGAATTTTCTGGTGAAAAGGGGGTCTGGACCCCCAGGATCCCCCCCTTGTAAGTGTAATGACCGACCGCCCAAACGGCCAAGAGACCGCTCACTGGCGAAGAAGTTAAGTATGTAATTAATGAAGTAGTATGTGAGTAGACTTAAAGTAAAGTTAATATGGAAAATCTTACTCTTAACGGAGTTTTCGTTGAGATAGATTTCATTACAGCAACACCGCCTATATCATGGGAATGGTGGCACAACAACAGAGCAGCCGGTGATTATAAGAAGATATTTGGTAGAAAAACATTACTGTGAAACCCGACAGTAGTGAGAAAGGGTACGTCACTGACCTTCTCCAGGTGTAAGGTGTTTGAGAGGTACTGGCCATCGAGAGCTCCGGCTTCGATGAAGAAACCTGGCGGGCGATGGGCCATCAGCCTCACCAGCCGTTCGTGCAGAAATTTCCACGAGTCCATGTCCTGCGGGACAGCCACACTTTGTATCTCAAGTGCCATTTGAAATATATATATATATATATATATATATATATATATATATATATATATATATATATATATATATATATATATATATATACGATCTATTGAAGCTGCATTCATATTCATATGTGTGTTGTGCAATTGCTTATCTCTTATGTTCATCTGAGATATCAACATTTCGTAACATTATAGCGAAGTATCAAAGGAGAGTACGCAATTTTTTTACTATATCTCAAAGAAACGCAAAAACATCCAAACCACCCGCCTTCTCACCCACACACATACTCACATTAAATGCACACATAATAATGGTTGCCCCTCGTGGAACGAGGATGGCCGGCCATCGGGCCACCTTGGCGTGAATTTGTTAAGGTGTATAAGTTGTCTCCAACACAATAACCACACCCCAAGTTAACGAGTTGCATGACCCAGTGTAAAGGAATAGTTCGAGAAGTCCAGACAACTCGATAACTGCACTGGCTAACCATTGCCCCGAAACACGATCCGCAGATCGATTAACATCCAAGTTCCCAATTACTGCTGGGTAGACAGAGGCAAATGGCGCAAAGAAACACCTTCTAAGATACATGGCAAATGTCACTTCTCGAGATTATCAAAGCTCCTTCTCAGTGTGTTACCTACCAGCAATATGATTTGACGTCAGGGTTTCAAATGCTCCCACAAATTATATGGATGAATGATTAAGCGAATTAATTTATTCCTTTGCCATTCTTGAGATAACTTAGGCTGCCGAGAAACTAATAATTACTGTTGAGTACGGCAGGTAAAAAAAATGGCGTTTGCTATAGCACCAGTACTGTCGCCTACATTCGTTGTAGCACCAATACTGTCCGCCACATTACTGTAGTTGTAGAATCAGTATGTCTACAGTAGTTCTTTACCTTGTAGTTCAGTCTGTTGGTGTAAGTATCGAGGGTGTAGGGGTTGTTGCTGGGAAGTTGGAGGTGGTGGTCACGGAGAGCGCTCACCACACGAGGATCCTCAGCCTCTAGAGGTCCTCGGAGGCGCTCTGTCCACCCTTCTGAGGTACTGAAGTGTACTTCTCTTCCATCAGTATGTACGGTGCCTACACCCACGTGCACGTGGCTACCATTCCTCTCTACGTGTACACCCTTGCCGCTATACACCATCAACTGAAAAAAATTGAACAATATAACTTATTTAAATAATTTAGTTTTTTTTAGCACTATGGCTGCATCTTTCTTCACACATACACGTGCGCTCAAAACATACAGCAACAAAATCACACATTTGTACGTTCTGCTTGAGCAGTTAGTGGACTCAATTTGCATATAGGAATTAACTGTCTTAAAAACATGCTCATCGACAACACTAAGAAAAAACGAGTTTATTAACACTAGTTACTACTTACTATTAGAAAAAATACAGTGAACATGGTCAAATTTTTAAGGAGTGTTCTCTTTTTTCTGTTTACCCGAATCCAACTCAGTTGGCGGTGCGTGAACATAATTACGTTTACACCGCGGTAGGAATACAGCACTGTCTGGACATACTCGCCCAGTGTCAAAATAACCGACAGATTCGAGGAGTCGTTGTATCAGGTACAGAGGAGAATTATGTATCTCAGTGGTAAAGACTTCCACCAAAGCGAACGGGATGGGGAAGTTTTGAAGGTATTATCGCGTGGCGGCTCTTTTGGTTTAGTCGCCTTGGTAGACTGCGAGCCAGCTCACCAGCCCGTATAGTTTACAGCCGCATTTCCTTATGAGTTTTCCTTCTATAAAACTTGACATCGCTACGCCATTTCTTCCTGATGACGTGTAGTAGTCAGCTGGGCACAATGAAAACATTGCTCTGGCATGTATGTGTACAGTTAAGTTACGTAAGGTTTGGTTAGGTTAGGTTGAGTTGGTTTAGGTTAGTTTGGGAGCCCATTTAATAAACTGGGTAATTTCACAAACGGGGCGTAACATATGTACCATGTGCATGCCCAGTACTTGCCAGCAGTGCGTAACAGAAGTGTGACCGACCGACAGCCCAAGTGGCTATCGATGTTAGATTGGTTGGCCTTGAGTTTTCTATCAATCTTGTATGTTGAAGTATCCTTTGTAATATTTAATGTTTATTTTATTAAAATTCATAAATACAATATCCTTGTATTACTGTGTACTGTATATTGACTGATTTTTTAATTAAAAAACATTTAAATATATTTTAAGTGTCGTTATAATAGATTCTGATAATATATGACTAATTCTTTTTTACATTAGGCACCTACAGACGGTAAGTGACAAACAAATAAGGATTTTTATCATTGTAATTTTTATAATGATAAATAGTGAATCACTAGTTTAACAGTTTATATGACATTCGTATGAAATGTTAGAAGAGAAATGATGCCCACAGTCGTATGGAAAACCTTTTTAATTCATTGTTTTCTTAATATATATGTAACTGTAAGTCTAAATCTATGTAATATATGAAAAATGTGAATTACACCACCCACATTACGGAGAAAATGTGAAGCTTGGGGCGTGAATGTAGGAAAATGTTATCAGTTCAACCAATCATAACATAGAATAAGACGTACTCGTTTGTGATTGGTTACTGTTCTTCAAGTCACACCAACGTTTAGTCATCACCTGTAGGACGTAAACAAAGATGGACGAAGAACTTGTGAGTTGTGTTTATCCTCTTTGTTTTAGGGACTTTGAGGGGAAAATTGTTAAATAAAACACACTGTAATTCAACTAAAGGGTGTTATTTCTAAATGGTGGATTGGCTCTTCTTTTATAGTTGTTATTTGATAGTTGTTAGAGAGGTTAACTGTGCTGCCTGTCTGCCTATATCTACTACCTCTGGCCTTGCGACGTAATTTCTCGAGGGGTTTTACTTTCATGGCAAATTCTAAGTTATTCTTTCTTTGAATGGTATCAGTCGTAGTATGGTCATGATAATCATTTCTTATGGTTGGGAGCTTCTTTAGTATTTGGCTTCTCTTTTTTTTTCAATAGAAGTCAACAAATTTTATTCGTTAGTTACTGAAGGTCACAGATTCAATTACTGTACAAGCTGGAGTTATTTTACGGTTTTACTTATTTGGTTGATGTTATTGTTTGTATACTTACACTGTACACATGTATTTTATGCCACAATGCGAAATTAATGATTAAAGTTTTTTTCTTTTTCCTGTTATAAACGAATAAGACTTTTATTTGGTAAAGGCATAGAAGAGGGTGACCACCAGAAAGAATTGGTTAAAAATTTTTCTGCACACTAATATCATGAAATTAAACACAAACATGGAAACGACAGTGCACAGAACCTAATAAAACCTGACCTAACATACCCAATCTAGGGGTATTGAGGAAGATTATGAGGTGACTTTTAATAGGAAATGATACAGAATTATGTCGTTCCACAGTCGTTCAATGCAAAACATCCATTGTATAGGCATGCCATAATTACACTGATTATAATTATACTTCTCGAAGAAAGATTTGCTCATGCATAAATTTCACAAGATATTTCAGCTGTCTTGTGATTGGTCAAAATTGATCTTATGAAGTCCAAAATAAAAAAAAATCTATATAAAAATCCCAAAAATGTGCTTTGTGAACTTTAAATCAATCTCTATTGTCCTGTTGATGTTATCTTCACCAGACGTACATACTGTACATATTTTGTTGTGTATGAAACCAGGTTTTACAATTAATTTTGTACGCATCTATCACTGAATTACTGTCGGATTTCTGTACATTGGCTGTTATTATAGGTTAGGAAAGTTAGGTGGCATTTTCAAAGTTTTTTTTTTCACTCCTCATTTTCCCTATTCTTTAAAGCCCTGCCCACTTTGGAAAACGGTTCTCACCTGAAGGAACTTACAGAATTGCAAAAAAAAAATTGTAGAGATGTTATTTGTTTAGAATTTAATAAGAAAATTGATACGATAATGCACAGAGGTAAACAAAATCTGACCTAACCTACCTAACCATGGACTTCCTGTCATATAAAATTGTTTCGCCATATTAAGTTGCTAACAGCAGAAGGAACTTACATACAGTACTTTAATAAATTAGTGAGGTTGTGTGTCATCCTGAAACAAATAATGCAGATTGACTGTCGATTCCCTGCCGCATTTCGGACCTTTGCACATCCTTCCAAGAAGTCCATGATCACATATTATATTAAGTCTTTAACACGGTTTTATTCCTCAAGAAGCACAGATGGCATGCAATAACTTAAGGATTTTCCGGTAGATGTTGCCATAATTGCATACATGAGCCAGTGCATCTCCTTGTGGAAGAACATTAATAATACTGTACTATCATACAGTTGACTTCGAATCCAATGCAACTCCAAATTAAAACATAAGTTATCTAAACCCCTTTATGCAATTCAGTCTTAACCATATGCTGCTGACCCTGTAAACGTAGAAGAGGTTTCAGAACCTTAAGACCGGACTCACTCCTTTATATCTTAACAGCGGACCAGCACCATGGTCGCCACAGGAGAATTGACTCTGACATATTTATGGTAAGTAATTTATTTCTTCGCCAACAAAACACATAGAGACGTTTTACTACTGCCATATGATCAGTTTTCGCCGTCTTTTTACTCCGTAATTACCTTCTTCTTTCATGCCCTGCCTACTACAGATGATTTAAAATGAAAGGGTGAAGAAAAAATAAAAAATACTTAGATTAAAGGAAAAAGTCATAATTTGTACGACCTACTATTATCCAAACATCTCTGGGAAAAAAAAGAACCAAACCTATTAACTACTTCTGGTGATAACCGTTTCCTCTACTATTACTGTATTCAAAAATTTGGTAATACCTATTGGAAAACGTAGTGTATATTAATGAGCATCTTCAAGAATTTTTTTATGGAAGATAATTGCTTTCTTACCTCATTAATAGCCCAAAAAGTTTAAGAGGAAACATATTTTTGTAAAATTATTTTTAATATTTTTTCCGTCAAACATAATGCACGGCCAGGAGCAATGACACCATAATTCCAGTGTTTACTTACAGGACGTTTTGTTTGATCAAATGGAATGCATTGGAACTCTGTCAGTTTGTTTCATTCACAGAAAGACATTAATTTGATGGAAGGTGTACAAAGATGTGATGTGATGTGACATTAGATGATCAATGAATAAAAGCAATTATTGTAAGAGAAAAGATTTGAGAGAATTAGTGTGACAACACTTGAAAGTTGCCATTTGAGATAAGATCTGTTAGAAACATTCAAGGTTTTCATGGGTTTTGAGGACATGATGTTAATGAAAATTTTCAAGCAAAATATTAATGTCAGCTTAAGAATTCACAACTTGGAAATCTTCATAGACAGTAGTTGACTGAACAAATGTATTTACTATATGGGTGTACTGTATTTCCCTAGACAGAGGATGGTGAACTTTTGGAATATGTCACCGACAGAAGGTATCAATGCTACCAGTATGAATACCGGTACAGTACCACCATGGTGAAGATTTGAAGCCTTTGGAGGGGCTCAGTATAATCCTGTAAAAACACTGACAATCTACCTTATCCAATCGAGTGATGACCATGAGTGGTTATTGGTGGTGTTCCTGGAAGCATATAAGCACTGTCATCTTGTGTCAATACTTCATAGGAGAACTTTTTTTGGACTCCACTTTTTAATGAATCTATCCTTGTTAGTGTAATTTTATCTGTACTGTAGTTTACAAATGTGCAGCCACTTGTTGAGTAAATGACTTCTATACCCCTGTCTGTGTTGTCACTACACTTCAATAAATTGATAAAACATTACTGTATCATGTTCATAGTCAGAGTGAATTGGTCTTGGTTCTGTTTCAGATTTTGTTAATACAGTACACCGAAGTGCAAAACGCACATAGATTGTGGCCTCAAAGGTTGTGGTAATGGGGAAAAAGTCCTTCATATACTTTTGGAGGTCAAGATTTTGTAAACTAGATAAAAGACTCTTTTTGTGAAGAAAATTAAAGTTCTAAACCAATTATTAAGGTGGCATCTCGTAGAGAAGCCATTTCTTTAATATGTTTATTGAGGTTGGTGGATTTTAAGATTGCTTCTCCTTTTTTTTTTATCTTATCGTCCATGTGTTTATAAAGGACATTCAGTACAGGTATAACTTTTAATCAATCTCTTTTAAGAAAAGTCATGATGGCAAAACTCTTTTTCAGCACACCCTGTACCCCAATCCAGTACTGTACTGGGACAGCTTCCCCAAATTTTCATTTTGCTCGTGTTTATATTTATATATACTTTGTCTTCATTACAATTTTTAATTTTTATAAGAGCTGATAAAAAAATTTCTTGCACAGCTTGTATATGAGCAGGATGAGGTCTACACTCTTCCCACATCACAAGATGAATTGTCAGTCAGTGGAAAGTTACGGATGATAGAGCGGGTAAGTTTTATTTGCTGTATTTTTGTTGTCCTCTTTTTATACAGTACAGTATAGTCTGCATTTACGCGGTCCATTGAACCCGTGGAGGTCAGCGTAAAACGAGAAATGCGTAAACGAAATAACAACATATGTGACTAATTGAAATAGAGACTGGGCCGACCCCCAAACTCCACTTTTTCCGACACAATACGTACGTTGTAGTAAAAATAACATCTTAATTTTATGATGGTATGCACACACAATTAATATTTAAGAGAAATATCAATAATATTAGGTTTTTTAACACTTACATTAGTAGAAAAGATGGCTGGACACACGGGGATGGGGGGTTGGTTCCGAGGCAGAGGGCAGATTATTGGCCCTCACCTGTATTACTTGTATCAATTGTATCACTATCCACCACATAGGCTTGCAGGGCCTCTTTGTCAAACCCCTCAAAGTCCATATCCTTACTATCACTGACTTGGGCCGGCTGTGGTGGGTGAAGAACTCGGTAACGTTTTGACGACTGGGCGACCTTGTGCGCACCCTGCCCGCGCCGCTTCCCACGTAAATGATGAAATTTACCGCGTAATTAAAACTTTTCATTCTGGCAAGGTGCGGTGTAAATGACCAAATGTGTAAACAAAAACCGCGTAAATCCAGACTAGACTGTATTAAAAAATATTGTAAAATATTATCTGGAAACCAAATTCCATATTCTCTCTTCAACCATTCTGTTTCAGCCTCAAATATACCACTGGATAGATATTAGTTGCACTAATTTATAACCTTACAATTAACTTAGGTTACCAACAGTATTCAGCCACCTTAGATTAAGGAATGAGAGCCCCTATGAACCCCTGATTGAGGCTCTCAGTTTTAACCAGATACCTAAAAATACTTAAAGAAATAATTTATGCCATGGAAAACACAAGGTGACCATTGATTGCCACATCAACACTGGATATCTCCTCAGTCATGTACAGTACAGTATTCAGTTGCAGCATAAGACCTCAATAACAGACCAATCCAACCGCCTTTATTGTAGGTGAAATGTTAGACCTTAAAAAAATTAGTCCAAAGACCACTAGATAACTTTCTTCCTTTTCTGTTTGTACAGATCCTTGTTGCTGTTTGTGACTTGTTTCAGTCCTTTGGTATGAATACTGTATGTGTGTTACCTAATGTAAGCTTGGTGCAGCTGTATGTTATCTCTAAAATTAATAAAAAAAAATACAGTTACCAAGATGTACAGTAGTGTATAGATTTATATTTAGATATCTTAATAACTATTGAGCTTTTAATGAAAATATAATAAGATTTTTAAATATTTTAAAGACTAAAACATGCTTTGAGGAGATTTTAGTATGTTTAGCTTATGTAAGCCTGTTATAGTAGAGGGATTAGGTGGTTGTTTGGTATTCTAAGTTTGTTGCGTTTGTTGTAAAAAAAGTATTTTGTAAGAATATCTTGTAGTAACAGTGTACACTACAGTATGTACAAAACAATGTATAATTTTTTTTTTATGGGATTAGCCCATCAGGGCACAGGTCAATGACCCACATCAGGGCCTGGGGGCGAAAATATAATAATAATAATAATAATAATAATAATAATAATAATAAAGGACCATAAATAAATACTAAAATAAAAAAAAGATCAATACTGTAGTAAGGAACAATATACTGTATGTGTGTTGTGTTGTCAAATTAAGAGAAACAATTGAGACCCTGCCATTGTGTGTAAATGAGGCAGAAAGTCATATCAGCAACCTGGGACTTGGTCACAATTTTTGTGATGCCATATGGCAGCAGGGTCTACCATTAGACAATACATTATGCTTTCAATATCTTACCAGGCGGTAGTACCTCCCTGTTTGGTAGCTGCCTACTACCTGCTAGGTATACCAGCAATGATTAGTGGATTAGTGGTAGGGGTGAAGGACCTGTTGATTCTTGGATTACAAACATCTGTTCATACTTATTGACCATGTTGGTTTTTTTTTAGTGTTATTTCTACTCATACAAGTAAATTTTTTTTTAACATCCAATACTAATCAGTGAAGCGCAGGAATTTGGATATTTGAATGTGAGAAAGCACGTCAACAGTACAGGTAGTGTGTTCTGCCAGTTCCCCTCCACAGTCTTGCTCAAAGTTTCCCTCCAAGTCACCCCTCTCCTCCTCCAACTAATACAGCTCCTCTGTTTCTTCTTTCACCATTTCTACTATTTCATTCATATTGAACCTAACAAATGTGCTCTATTTAAGTACTGTGCAGTACTGTAATTAATTTATAATTATTTATCGGTACTGTACTTTATTGCAGTACTGTATTATTATCTATTAATTTACTTATTGATGTTTTGATAAATGTGTACAGTACAGTAGTTATTGATGTTTTTAATTAAAGACAAGTGGTTTTCAATTGTGCTGAAGACCAATTAATTACTGGAGTTATATAATTTCTCCAATGGGATTTACTGATCTGGTTTACAAACACATTTTCAGGAACACATTAAGTTCGTTAATTAGGTTAATTAGTGACTGTCTGTATATCTTTTCATAAAATTGATGAATTTTGCTACCTGGGTAACATGATGAATACTGAAGGTGGTGCTGAACCTAGTTCGGTTGCAAGAGTCAGATATGGTTTAAAGAAATTTTAAGCTGTTGCCTTTGTTGATGGGGAGAGGGCCTTCTTGTCACTTGAAAGGACAGATGTATACACTCAGTGTGTGAAATTTGATGTTGTATGGCAGCGAAACGTGGTCAATTTAAGTGGATGACATAAGGAAGCCTTCATGAGTTGAAATGAGAATGGTGAGATGGATGTGTAATGTCACAATGAAGGATAGGAAACCCTGTTCATAGCTAAGAGAGGTGCTGGGTACACCTATTGCTAATATTGGTGAGGTTTTGCACTGAGGTTGGGGTATGAGTACAGGAGTATTTAAAATTGTATCTGCATTTTTCCTATTTGTAGAGAAGTTCCTTAGTACAGTAGTTGTTGTGTGAGGGGAGTGAGACTTGAGTTTAGTGCAGCTTTTTTATGTTAGGTTTACATGCCTAACATTGTCATATATAGTACCTATTTTCCTAATACAGTATGTTTTTTGTTTTTTGGCAAGAGCTGATTTATGTGGAACAATGTGGTTGTTGTTTTCAAGTTGGTGTTTAAGTATGGTGTTGATAATGTATATAAAAGTTTAACAAAGTGTTTCATGAGTTAGGGTCTGAAGTGTTTTGGGTAAGTGTGGTCTCTTTTTGTCTATTAAAATTGGTAGTGGTATTTAAAAAAAATGGAGAAATAGCAAGTGGCAATAGAGGCATTGTAGTGGAAATGAGAAAGCCAGGAAGCTGATGGGTGAGGTGATGGCCTATTCTTGAAGCACCTGGGGTCTTTTGGGGGTATGCTCCTCACCTACAGTGATGGGAGACATTAGTTATTGGATGAAATGCTGTCACGTTGATAGGTTGGGAGTTATTGTGCATGGTGTAGTTCGCACTGGGAGTCAACAGTGTAGATATTATCTAAAGCAGCTATGTGTGGAGGGTGGGGGTTGATTATGTTGATCCAGCAGTGCTTGAATACATGTGTGACCTCCGTAGGAACTGATTTGATGGAAGGGGGAAGTAGAGTTACATTTGAATTCATTTTAGTCGCCAGAAACCCTGAGAAGTGCAAACCCTGTTTACCTCATCTGTTCTCACAATGTTTCACAAATGGGAGCTGTGGTCTGCATCAAGGATATAACTGTCTTTGTAGAAACACTTAAGATTACATCATTTAAGTCAACATCATTAAAGTCAGGAAGCATTAATTCTGAATCATATTCCAAAGCTGGACCATCTCAGGTTTATAGCTTAGAAATGATTGTTAATGTTATGAAGTTGACACAACTAGCTTCTACAGTTGAGGGATATGACATTAGAAATATTGAATCTTTGGTGGCCTTTATGTGTGGCATGCCTGAACAATCACTACTACAGAGAGGGGCTTGGTCTTTACTGAGGCCATTTATATGATGGTACCCCAATGAGGTTCAGGCAACATTACTCTGTTGCTGTGGTAGGTTTGAAAGGTTAGTCTATCCATTAATCTTCCTGAGAAGGATGTGTGCATAGTTGCAATTACTTTTATTTTCTCCTAATAATGTCATCCTGGATAGTTGTAAGATTGTAAATGGTTGATTGTTCCTGATACTGTACAATATTGCATTTTATAACTGAGACTGGACTGGAGGCTCCACTTGCCCTGCCTCTTGATGTGGGTGTGTTGCATACTTGTCAGCACCGAAGGTTGTGTTTTTTTCCCCTGGAAGTCTCATGTTTTGACCAAAGAAATGAACGAGGTGATGCTCTCCGTTGATGTGTAAATGACTTGACAGCCTTTTGCCTGTATGTATCTAAGAATTATTTTTTTAGGATCTATTTAAAGAAAGTTGACATAAATACTGTAATCTCCAAAATTAGTCTGTAACCTTTATTTTCATTAATAAGGGCCTCTCAATACAATTTCAGTTATAAATGGAATTTGTGGGTCAATCCACCTTTTATCTCACCCATTTAGTGATATATGATCTATTATTTTTGTATTCATTATAAGATTTTTCTCAATGCCCTTCAAACCAGCGACACGGAGTAGTTGTGGAGTGGCGGTGTTCCGATGATGAAACCTCAACAGACAGCGAATGGGCGGTCATCAACTCAGCTGCTGTCACATTCACACATCACAATGTTTCAGGTTTGTTCATTATACTGTATCAACATATGACTGATCTTTGGTGCTAGAATCAATTTGGGATGAAGAGAATACTGTAAACTCTCTCTCACCTGGACTCATTTAATCCGGATCCCCTTGCAAACTGGACTGGGGTCCAGCACCGGACACATGTATCCTCAACTCGGAAGAACACAGCCAAAATCTGGTTAGTACGGTGGAAAGTTGTTGTAACCGGGGGCTGCCACTCTGTTGGAGGTGGTTACTGAGGAACACTAAAGTGAAGTGTCAAAGAAATATAAATACTGTACCTGTTGTACATTTAGTTATGAAATTAGCAGTGAAAACATAACCTCCTCTCCACCTTCGGTGGAGTATTCTGTACATTGTGAGTGACATACAATCACCTCCTGCCTCATGATAGGTTAATAATTGCTGTAATAAGTACAGTACAGTACTTTATTATTATCATGTACAGTACTATGTTCTTCTATTTTTTATAAACAGGCATATTATAATGCAGTAATAATGTATACCATATGAAACACTCTTTTGCTTTGTATGATTCTCTTACCACTCCCATTATATTAGACCGCATCCAAGAGTGAAAATATTCACAGCTAGCAAAAAAGTGTTTAACTTTTATCCACAGCATCTGTTCTAATTATTTGGTACCATAATGATCCTTATTAAATTCTCTTTAAGAAATGTTTATACCGGAGTCTATAAAATCAGTTCTAAATAAGTTAGAAACACCATGTTTATATAGTACTAAAATAATCCTGAATAGTTTATCTGAATAAATATATTTAAAACCAAAAATCTATAGGATATGCACCATTAAATACGGGTACAGTATTTTTGGGACATGAGGCTTGAATGTTGCCGAGACAGCACATACTGCTGCAAGACTTATGGTATAAGAGCTCCCGGAAACACCAGCTGCTCGGTGACTCACTCTGTAAAGCTGTACTAAGAGCCAGCACCAAGCTGCTGAGAGTGTATGAGAGACCGAGGAAAAATTAACTTTTTTCCACAGATGTTAAAACCCCAAGTGTGTGAAGTCTAGGCTAAAAGTTATAATAGGTTTAGTGTTCTTAGGTAGCTTGAGTCGGAAGTCTCCACCCTCTTGAATTTTCTACCTTTCAATATAGATATACGTACCTGTACTGTACAGACTCCCGCCCAGCCCGGAATTTCGGCCAAACTTGTTAGACTTACCCCCAATTAGTCCGGACTGCAGATAGTTTACTGTATATTATGTATTAAAACTTAAAAAGTCACAAATAATCTTTGTAATATTAAAAGTTTTATTTTTAATATCTAAGGTGTATATTTATGGAATAAACCACAAGATTAATCATCTGATAATTTGGCTGTGGGAAATTAGGAAGTATATACTGTATAGGATAGAGGATATTCACCGTATCGATTTTGTTGTAGTTATTTAATATACAAAATTAATAGAAGTGTTCACTGCTATTTTATAACCAAATTCAGGATTGAGCAACTCTGTCTAGCCAACAATTTTAGAAGTTGACCCTAGGCCCTAATACTCAAACTTGTGACTGGAATCTGAAAACTAAATACTAATGTATGTTTGATTATTAGATTATCCTTTACCTTCGTACTGGAATCCCAAAGGTAAGAAGGTACATTAAAAAATAGCTGTTAAGACCCTCAGTTAACTGATAACAAGATCAATACTGAAGTACTGTAATAAGTATTAAAATTAATGTATGGAAAGGACAAAATAGTTGGCTATCATGTACAGGGTGTACTCATTAATACAGTACAGTGTAATTAAAAAAAAATAATTCTTCTGGATTAGGTGGTCAATAAAGATGGGAGATGTTTACACCCCACACCATGAGACCACCACATGAGTGTTTGTTGTGGAAACCACATTGATGTGGAGAGACCCGTGCAAAAACCTAAGTCCAGTATTAGATTGTTGTGTTGATGTGAATTGTGCAAATGAGGTTTTACTGTACTTTATTCAGGCTTTATTGTGATTGATTTATTTTCTTTACATTAAGAAATGTTACATTTTACAGTACAGGTACTTTAATTCTCCCATTAAAAGTACTGTACACAATTCTTTTACACTTTCTGACTTTACCATTGACAAATGCTGTATGTCATTCATGGTCAATATAAATAATGTGGCTTTTTTCACTCCATACCTTACACAGTCACCTCTCAAAGCATGTGATAAAAATGAATAATGTACATATAAATGTTCTCTGCACTCCTGGCTGGGCAACTAGAATTGTACTGAAAATCTTGGTTATTGTTTAAGTATAAAATAGTGCAGAATAAAGTGCATAAGAACATCTTGAAATTTTGTGATTACTGTTTATATGTATATTGAAATGGCTGATAGCACACCTGATTGAGTGGCCTTGGAGTGATCAAGTATTTTTAGAAATGAAGTGGTTGAACTTCCTGGTCAGCCATTACTGTACTATATTTTACAATACGTACAGTAATGTATGTGCAGTACTGTACATGAAATTCAGATTTGTAAAGTTATTCTTTATGTCCATCTGCCTGTTATGTGTTTGGAAAATTACTCACAACAGAGAATGGCAGTACAGTATTTATCACCTACTTGGATGTTGATTGTATTGTAAGAAATGATTACATGGTTACCGGTAAGTAAGTATATGCTGTATAACATTGAGTGTCTTTTACTTTGCAGATTCGGTGGAGATTAGTACACCACGACGTAATGTCCGCCCAGTATCCATAGAACTAATTGACCTTCGCAGCTATAGGGTATGAGACTTTCCTTGTGTGTTGCAAATCAGTGGAAGAGTTAATTAAAGAGAATTGAACTTGAGAGAAATTTAGTATTCATGTAGGCTTGGGAAAGGGTACTTTGGTGTAACAAAAGCCGACTTTATTGGAGGTCATAGATATTAAATTCATAAGGACTTGTATTATGTGTGTCTTTCAAAGTTGGTATTTGTTTATATGTTCTTTGTACGTTAAATTTTCCATTTGAAATGTTGTTTATTTATTTTGTTATTTTATATATATTTTTTAAATTGAATAAATATTTTACAAAAGATTCCTTCCAGATTGGAGATGATAAATCTCTTGTGTTGATCCAGAGAGATGGCACCACTCACCCAGCTTTGGCATTCCATACAGGATCAGTCTATTGTTTTGTTGACGTCCTTCATAGATATGTTGCTGTAAAAAAGTTTGTATTCAGTGTTTAGTAATTGTGGTTATATGAGTTTAATAATCTTAACATTGTTCATTATTGAATTCCTTTGAAAATTAGTACTGTATTCAGTGTACTGTACAGTATACTACTATTTTTGTAATGCAGCAGTTTATAATAGTAATGGTGCTGCAGTTTTGTGAAAAAGCAGTAATGTATGCACAATAGTGTATAGCATACTAAAGCTTTTCACTGTACATTTTAAAAGGAATTACTGAATATGGAAAGTACAAACTTGACCACAATAATGATATTGGATGATTAATTTATATTGATTTTGACACTGATATTTTTTGGCAGGTCAGAAAAGGATAGCAATCTCTATTTGGTGAGTGATAAGCGACAGGCAGCCATAGATGATGAGCTAGCATCCATGAATTTAGTACCTCATCGTCGTGGTGTAGGAGGACCAGGTCCTGGGCAGTGGAACAACACACAACAGAGGGTATGGGGCTTCTTCAACAACTTAAAGCGAGATCCATACACAACCACCATCAGTGCTTTCTCCAAAGTTTATGATACAGTTTGTAAGTTTGGTGACCTTTTAGTATCTCCCAGAAAATAATTTTGATAAAAGTGTTGTGTTGACACCATTAGTGAATCTTATTACTTTGTTGTGTTCCAGCACTTTTTATACAGCTGTCTCCAATGGGACATATTATATAATGGCATTTCTTTTTTATCCCCTCTATTTGTTTATCCATAAGCCCTTTTTGTTTTCTTCAACTTGCTATAAACTACTAACCTTGGTATGCATGATCAGAGGCAAGTGGAAGTGTGCATGTGGTCATATAGTTTTATGTCAACCATTTGTGCTAGAGTTATGGCCCATTTCGTGTGATTGAGAAATACTGTATGGCAAAATTCAGCAGCTGATAATGCCAAGTGACTCAAAATTGCTTTAAGTGTTGCCCCATGATTAATTGATACCCATAATGACACCAGGTGCTCATCATAAACCTTAATGGGTAATTCTTGTGTTTGGGAAACATCCATTTAGTGTTCCTAGCATCACCAAACATGGTAGAAATCAGTCACTCAAGCTTCCATCCCGATGTCTAAAGGTTAGCGACCGTGGCCTTCCCTCTCAAACGTTTTGGTCTGTCTTTATCAATCCTCCCAGATTTTGTATCACTAGTGGGAGCCAGTGTTTAATTTCACTAATCTTTTTGCATTCCCTGACACTTCTATTTTCAGTTAATGTAATATATTCACCACTATACTGTACTCTTATCCCAGTTTGTATGTCTAAAGTACCTCTGTCTCTCTTATTCTATAACTCATTGCCTGAACCCAGGGACTCTTAAACTTTTTTATTCATTGCTCCTTACTGAGTTGACCTCTGCCCTCTACCTCCCCCAGATGTTCAAGTGTACAGTATTGTTAAATATTATTGTTCATTACATTTGTTTGGTTTGAAAGTAAAAACAATTCATTGAAATATTTCATTTACAACTTTATATCATATGACACATTATATAGTTAGCTGTAAGTAAAAATTATTTTTCACTGAAAACAGATCATCCCCGCAATTTTTTATTTTTTTCCCACAGTTGCTTAAACTGTTGTTTAAAATATTGGTACTGTAGCTTGATCTTTATTTTTCATAGTACATCACATTTATTTCCACATCTCTAAGTTATATTTTCCTGCAGCTATATCTCTTAGTCATCATCTTCCATCCCCTTATATTTTTTTTTGTAGAAATGTTTTTCTAGCATTTTTATAATCTTTTTTAATTGCTCTAATATCTTTTTGAAGTTCGATGTACTGGACCTTATTTCCTTGTACCAGCTTTTATCTCTAATCCATTTTCTTTAAAATTTAATTTGTGATCTATGTTTTCTATTGTTATCCTCTAAAGTTTTTGCATACTCTTGTATATTATTTCTTTGAATCATTACCAGGTCCATCACCATGAAATTGAAGGGGGGTATTTTGTTCCTGAGAAAATTTTTGAGGTGATAGGACACACACACACACACACACATTGTGTCAATTATACACAGTAAAACACAAAATAATGTTTTTAGATCATACTACTACTGTATAGTATAATACTGTTACTGTATACTCTATTGAAGTATAATTGGTCGATATTGAGAATTTTTTTTTTCAGGCAGTTGTCTTTAAATTATACAGTAGTAAACATTAGTACCTTGATGACGTTTGTTGATACTGGTGTTGAGTACAGTAAAATCTCATATTTCGCATTTTTGAATTTCGCGAGCACTATCTAATGTAACCAAGTCTTAAATTTGGCGTAAAATATCGTGAGCTTCGCGGGATCCAGCAAGCTGAATGCTGGTCACTGTCTTGAAAGACGCCACAGCCCTCATACCAGTTACCGTCATTTCTGTTACAACGAGTGTTTTGTCAATGCGAATTGGTTGTAACGTGATTGATGAATAGGGGAACACTGTACAATGCTAACTTTTGCATACAAATGTTGGCTATAACACGATTCCATCCTCAACGTTTTAAGTGAGGCGCTGGGTTATGCAATGTTTACAGTTCACGTTCGACATCACATGTTCAATTGATTCATGTCTTTTGTTTGTGAAGTGTTTTTTGAGAGGTACTCTGTAAATTTCGTTTTTTTGGTGGGGGGGGGGCAAGTTTAGCTGTTACCCATAAATACTGTAGGAAAAGAATAAGTAAAAAGAATGTTTCGCAGTGAGGACTAATAACAGTTTGCACCAGCGCTCTCTGTTTACATCATGTGATCAATTGAATCGCGCATTTTTTGTCGATTGCTCCGTGATTTTCGCTGTTTTCTCCAATTTTGTTGTGTTAGCAATGAATATGGAAAGATAAGGTAAGAAGAATGTTTCCAAGAAGCGTTCTGGTGATCGAATTGCCAGTGGTGAACGTGAAAGAGGTTTACAAGAACGTAATTATCGCGTTGTAGCCCGCGCCATCACTAGTGACCGCCCGGGCTGCTATTGTGTGCTTTTTTGGGTGGAGCTACCACCTGTCAAGTCAAGATAATGGTCTCTACCTCTACTGGGGGTCCTACTGGTGCTGGTGGAGGTGGGACAGACCCACCTAAGCGGCCAAATAAGGAAAAGGAGAAGCAGGACTATCATAAGGGAGTTAAGTTTGCCAAGTACTCGATGCAGGATAATTAGCTTGTGATTAAGTAAATTGAGGAAGGCCTAAAAACTAGTTTCCGGAAAGTGCAATCAGGTCAATAAAGGAAGAATTTGTATCATTTGGAGGTTATAAATGGGAAAATCAGAGGTTGATGTAGATTTGCCAGTCTATAATTTTATTTTTCCCATTAGTTTATGTATTTGCATTTGGCAAATTTGAATTTGATGCAATTTTTCCAGTCTATATTACTCGTGAAATACAATATCTTACTGTACAGTCATAAAAAAAACTTGAACATTGACCCTTTGAATATGGTGGATTATTTTGTGTGGTTTGTCATTGGAGAAGTAACATTTTCTATTTGGTGTAATTATTCTAACTACATTGTACAAGAAAATGTTGTAATGATCACAGTTTACTACTGTACATGGCATCATGAATATACAGTCGGCCCTTAACATACGCGGGGGTTACGTAACAGAGATACCCGTGGATGTTAAAAATCCGCGTATATGTGCTGCCCCTCCCCCTCCCCCCCCATGTCCTTATTTACTGTATATACCTGTGTGTAGTTCAAGTTTTTAAGACCAAATTATTTGGCAAAAAAAAGGGGGTCGACCTCTTAACGGGTAATAGTTTCGTTAGGTTGAAAAATATTTACCAGTAACTACCAGTTAACAATGGAAACGATGCACCAACGCACCACCAGCTGTGAGTGTCGGTACAGTTGCCAGGGCAGATCTCTTGCGTCATCATAGCAAGCCCAAAGTAGCCAAATCCATAGTATGGTAGCACAGGACGATGTAAAACATAAAGTATTCATTTATTAAAGTTTATTTATGGATACTGGACATAAATTTTTGTTCATTACATTTGAAACATCAATCTTTGTTAATTAAATTTGAAACAAAAGAAAACTACGATATCGGTTTTTCATTAAAATATTACATCACAAGTATATTTTACCTTAACTGTGACTGAATGAATATACTTATTCTCAGAAATAAGTATGGAAATATAATATTTTTGCTGGAATGACGTACATATTACAGTGGAAAGTGGGATAAAATCATGACGAAAACAATGACTTTCGCTTTCTTTCGTTATTCAAAAGATTTTACCGTAATCGCTTTTCAAATGGTTTTCAGTTAAAAAACTGTTGTGCTCGTACTGTATTACAATAATATTCTATTCTATCATTAGCCTTATAATCCCACAACTGAAAACCATTCGAAAAGCGATTACGGTAACATCTTTTAAACGAAAGAAAGAGGAAGTTATTGCTTTCGTCACAATTTTATCCCACTTTCCACTGTAATACGTACATCATTTCAGCAAAAATAGTACATTTCCATGTTCTCAGAAATAAATGGTAGTTTTGTTGAAACGTAATGTACAGTATTTAATATTAAAATGCAAAAATAGCTATAAAAACAATTAATACTGTACACCCGTAATGTACTGGCTGGCATCTCCACTCATCCCTGCTCCCGCGTCCAAGGTCACCACTCCTCCCAACTCGCTCCCTCCTCACTGTCACTACTGCCGACAACAAACACAAATGTTTTGTGAATAACTGCACCTCCACTTACTATGTACAGTACTGAACTGTACTGTGCTGTGCATTTTTACAAACAATAAACATGGCAAGAAAAGCTATTAAAAAAAAAGAGATAACAATTTCACTTTACTGTACAGTACCTATCCTCGGCGACAGGACGGGGGTCATCGGGCTCATCGTCACTCAATTCCATAACGGGTGGTGAAGTGGGGGCGACGGTGGATTCAGCTGCTTCCTCACTGCCGCCAGTGATTGATGGTGTTAAATCTCTCCTTCGGTGATCAAAGAACATGGTGATGGGGAGTTGTCGTCTCTTTCTTTCATTTCTTCCATGATGTTTTTGTATGGAGCAAAAATGTCATCCATCCCTCGCATGAATTTCAGGGCACGCACCATGGAGGGGTCCATACTATAGGCCAGGTTTTTCAGTGCCTCAATATTCCTGGTCATCTCCCCCAACTTCTCCAACGTTATTTCTTGGTGCTCTTCCTCATCCTCTTTCCCTTTCGCTTCCTCTTCCTCTTCCTTGCCCTAGTCTACTAACTCCTGTAGATCCTCCTCGGTCAGCTCAGTGTCGTGCTCTTCAGTTAGCTCCCTAATCTCGTCCTCTGCCATGTCCTGGAAGCCTTCAGCAGCCACTTTCCTTGACAGTGCCAGCGTCTTTCTGAATATTATCATTAAAATCCATCAAAATCATTTTCCTTGTCATCGTCTTAAGCACCAAACAGCTCCTCCCAGTCTTCTCCTTGAACAGGGCTAGAGGGTGCGTGTTTTTCGAATCGTTTTCAATTAAAAACAATGTTACAGCACATGTGCCTGAATGAATATATTCTCAGAAATAAATAGTAGTTTTGCTGAAACGTGATGTAT